AAAATATTCAAAAGGAGGAACCTGACAATGAGGAGGAACCTGAAACATATTTAAACGAAAATGATTTGGACGCTTTATTTGAAGATGCTGCTGAATCCATTGATAATACAGAAGAAGAATTTTATAAAAGGCCAGGTTTATTTGAATTTATTTAAAGGAAACCTTAAAATTTTTAAAAGAACCTCCTCCAGACTTTGAAAAATGTGATTTTGATGAGGATACTTATAGATGTATTTATTGTAATTTAAATTGTATTTATGCCCGTACTGATAGACATTTGAAGACGAAAAGACATTTAGTTTTGAAACAGGCTCATGAAGGTTTTTTTGAAATTTATTTTTTTGGAGAATAAAGGGAGTAGGAATCCTTAATTCGATCTTCTTTTCGGTTGATTTCTCTTTTCTTCCTCGTTTGATTTTTTTGACATCGGATTTTTTACTAGATGGAGAGGTTGGGTTAGTTTCAAAGAATCCGAAAAGAAGGAAGAAACTGAATAAAATATTTTGTCCGCAAAATTCTTGCGGACAAAAATTATGTCCGCAAATTTTTAAATTTTGCTGACAATAAATTTTAATGCTTATGAGCTTTCTAATAAATAAAATCCTTCAAAAAAATTTCAGAATCTGACAAAAGTAAAAATCAAAAGAATGATAATCCATACCCCGTAAATTGCCCAAATGATGGTTGTTACACTGCTAGCTCTCTTGGGAAGAAATATGTTTATTGTATTGATTGTAAGAAGGATCTGATTAATTTGAAAAGGGTTCTCTGGCCACATATGTTATCTTTAGCACATCAGAATGCGCAGACTGGAGGTTTATTTGATTATTTTAAGATTGAGAAAATTTGTCCGCAAAAGATTTGCGGACGGAAATTTTGTCCGCAAAAATTTTGCGGACAAAATTTTTTAAAATATTTACTTTACTTTATCTAGTTTTTAAAATAAATTTTAAAAATATTTTTTTTCAGCAAAAAACAAAAATTCACTTCTAAAAAGTGCCAATAAACATCGCCTCTCTAATATTCAACTCAATCGTAGAAAATCTGTTGGATTAGTTGTTAAAGTTGCGGAAGAAGAATCTTCATCGTCATCTGAAGAAAGTGAAGATGATGACATTAGTAAGAGTTTTTTGAACTTTAAAACCTTTTAGGGCAAATAAATTTCGTTTTTTGAGAGTTGGATTTGGACTTGTCTGCATTTTTTATCCTCATAAATGGGAAGGCCCTCAATTTTAGATATACACCCAAAAATTTTCTTCTCAATTCAAAATCGGTTCGTATACCCCATCCTTTTTCCCTCCTAAAAGTATTAAAAAATGGTCAGTCAGTCTTACTGTTAGGTTACAGAACTCGTCGAGCTAACAATAAGTCGAATGACACCAAAATTGATCCCCGGTCTTAACTTTAGGTCGACTACAGGGGGCAAGCTAATTTTTGGGCTAAAAATTCGATTAATCAAATAAAGCTCATCGAAAGGGCTTGTCGAGCTGATTTGAATGACATCAAAATCAACGTAATTAAACAAGAGTTGATAGAGTTGACTGACCTTTTTTGAATAATTTTAGGAAGGAAAAAGGATGGGGTATATGAACCGAACTATTACCTAAAAATTTTGCTGGCTATTAGTTGAAATTTTTGTTGTGAATCGCTTATCTTTTATTTTAAAGCTATCCCTCATTGTTAGATGCGATTTAATTTCTTCAGTCCCAATGTTAAAATGAGTTCGTTTTTTTGTAGAGTTTCTGTCAATCCGAGAATTAAAAAAATTATTTTAATAAAAATATTTTTAGTATCTACATCATCTCTTGGCAAGGAAGAATCTTTTAGTCGTTATCTTGAACTCAAAAAAACATTCAAAGATTTGTGTTATTGTATTTATTGTAAAGAACACTTTCGACTAGTACGCAGAGAAAGGCATTTAGATTTGCAAAAACATGTTTTGAATAAGCAGAATTATAAAGGTTTTTTTTTAATTTTTTGGAAATTTTTAGGAAATTTTTAGAAAACGAGAAGAATAAAGGCCGGTCCACTTTTAATGAAGATGAGACGTTTGGTCCCACAAATTGCTTCGTGAAATCCAAAGAAGGAAAGAAGCTTGCTTTTTGTATTTATTGTAAAACAAGTTACTCTACCAAACGAAAAAGCAATTTAATTGATCATGTTAAAACAACAAAACATCGTTTGGCTCTGGTAGCTGTTAAAGGTTTTTTTTAATTTATGATTATTTCTTTATAAAATGAAAAATAATGGGGAAAAAGCAAAAATTTCATCAAAAAACTTTTCGATAGACTTCCAGAGTCAACAAAATAGGAGATGGAGCTTAATTCCTGGGAATGTAAAATAAAATTGTATATATGTTCACCAAGGGCGTAGCCAAGGGGGGGGGGCTTCTGGGGCTAAAGCCCCCCCCCCCCGAAATGGGAGAAAGGGGAGAAAAATTAGGGGAAGAATTAGCAAAAAAGTGAATTTTTTTGGCCTACGGCCTTCATAATTTTAAAAATTTTCGCCTGCGGCGCTTAAAATGGAAGAAATCTGGCTTCTGAGCTCCAAAATTCAAAAAATTTTCGCCTGCGGCGCTGAAAAAAATAAACATATGGTTCAAAAAAATTTGGGCCCAGAACGCCAAGGTAAACGCCAAAAATTTTGCGCACACCCAGTGTTAGCCCCCCCCCCGAAATCGACCCTCTGGCTACGCCCTTGATGTTCACTAGTTTACAAAAACATATTGTGTCTACCAGGGGGGCTTTTGGGACATTCCCGAAATCGACTCCCTGGCTCTTAGTGTCTACGCCTTAAATTTTTTTCGAAAAACTATTTTTGATTAAGCGTTTCTAATTCAAATTTTTCCCATAATTTACCTGACACTTTACATAAAATTTAAGGTGAAACAATTCAACAAAATAGCAATGAAGAAATTATTTTAAATGAGGATGTAGAAGAAATTGAAGAATTATCAGATGATTCTTGTGGAATAATTGGTAGAGATGACGCTGAAGACAGTGATTCTAGCATTTCTTTGGATGAATTGGAAAGTGTTGCAACAAAACTTGCTGCATATCTTAGTCAAAAAAGGCGACGAAGGAAACGAATGTAAGGGGTTTTTATTAAATAAACTTGAAAGTGCAAGCTTAAGCTTAATTATAAGTTTATAAATAACAAACTTGGAAGTTTAAGCTTAATTATGTTTTTTAAAAATAAACTTGAAAATGTAAGTTTAAGCTTAATTTATAAGAACAAACTTGAAAGTTTAAGCTTAAGCTTAATTATAAGTTTATAAGAAATAAATTTGCTAACTTAAGTTTGTAAACTTAAAAACCTGACAAACTTTACAAATAATTTTCAAGTTCTTAAATAACCTTAACTTGTAAAATTAAGTTTACAAACTTTAATTAAGCATTTCTCTAGTCAGATAAATTTACAAACTTAAATAAGTTGATAAAGTTTATTTGATTAAATTTTGGGCTAAACTACAGTTTCCGTACCAGGCTCAGAATTGAACGATTTATATGTCATTCGAAAGAGCTCGTCGAGCTGAGTCGAATGACACCAAAATTTTTCAGCGGAAAAAATTCTGAGCCGAGTTACAGACCACTAAAGTTCAAAAAACCATAGGGGGGACCAAGCTGTTTTCTGGAGGTGAAAAATTCGAATATGCAAATTATACCTCATTCGAAAGAGCTCATCGAGCTGAGTCGAATGACACCAAAATCAATGAAATCAGAATTGATTTGACAAAGTAATGCTCGTTTGTTTTAGCTCCTTACCTTTGTTCTCCGTGGATGTTCTTGCTGCTGCGAAGGAAGCTGGCATGCCCATCACAGCGATAATTGGAATAGGATTAAGTTACAAGCCCAGACCCAGAGCCCGTAGACTCCCCGCGAGGCGCGTGCCGCAAAACTCCGCGCGAAGCGCGGAGTTTTGCACAAGCGCCTCGCCGTCGCCCCATAGGTTTACGTTGTTAGTTTTTTTGTCATAACTTTGAACAAACTTGACCAATCACGGCGATTTTGGTGTCATTCGACTCGGCTTGAAGAGCTCTTTCAAATGAGCTATTAATTGCATATTCAAATTTTTCACCCCAAAAATCAGCTTGGTCCCCCCTATGGTTTTTCGATTTTCGGGGGCCTGTAACTCGGCTCAGAATTTTTTCCGCTGAATAATTTTGGTGTCGTTCGACTCAGCTCGACGAGCTCTTTCGAATGACATATAAATCGTCCAATTCTGAGCCTGGTACGGAAACTGTAGTTAGGCCAAATTTTGCTTTGAGAAACATTTTAAACGAATTAATTTTTTCTATATTTTTAGTGGTGCTTACAAAGGAACGAAATCATTCAAACAAGAACCGTGTGAATCATGAATGAAGAATTAGAATCGCTTTCCAAATTTTTTTTTGTTATATCTAATGTATTCTCTATTTATTTGTTTCTCTTACATTAAGTCGATTGTTGTTAAATCCATGTTAGGCTAACTCACCGACTGACAACTCACTGTCCGCAAAGTATTGTTGGAACAAGCTTCTCTATTTTCAGGAATCGAACCGGAGATTTAAGGTATCCCCCGTTGCACATCAGCATTCCTCGCGCCAAAGTGTTCCCAACCTATTGGAAATGCATCATTTTTTCTTTGGACGGTGTTTTGGTAAGACGGTGGTTTGTCGGTCGGTGTTTTGTCTGGAAGGTGTTTTGGATTTCGGGGAGTTTTCCCTCACGTTCGATCTACCAAACCTACTAATAATTAGTCCTCTAAAATACAATTAACAAAAATCAATATTTGAACCTTTAAAAGAGAAGAGTGTAGATAAATAAGAGAGCGGGAAAATAAAAAGAGTATGAGGCGAGAGAGCGTGTTGAATTTTCAATCAATTTTTATTCGTTGCGAGACGGTTAGAGTTTCGTTTAGCCCGCCCCGTGTGTTTTTACTTTTGCAAACCTTCATTTTACCGCATTCATTTTTTTTATTTTCTTTAAGTTTTCGTGATTAAACTATAAATTATTTTTAAGTTGCTCAATCTCTATATTCAATTTTTTTCTATATACATCTAACTAAAATGGTTGTTTCCGTAACCAAGATGCTTTTCCAACGTAATCTCAACTCACACGTATCTAAGGCTTTTATTTCCACTGAGGTACGTTATATTTTTAGAAGATTTTATTGAAGATTATTTGCTTATTTAGACTAGTGAACGACACGATTTTAAAAAATCGTTTGATTTGCTCTCTTCTGAATTAAAATCATTTCGTGGCGAATTGAATTCTCGAATTGATAACTTAGAAGCAGCACAGAAGGAGACGAACAACAAAATCGTGAGCCTGGAAGCGGCACATAAAGAAATGAATACAACTTTAAAGTCGGAGATCCACGTCTTAAAAGCAGAGCAAAAAGCTGAATTTGCGGTTATCCGATCGGATAACTCTGTTTTTAAGTCGGAAATGACAAACACTTTCAAATTATTCAAATCAGAAGTTAAAGAAGATTTAAACAAATTTAAATCCGAAGTTAAAGAAGATCTTATAGATATGAAGGCTACTTTAAAGGTTATGGACTCAAAATTCATCGGGATTGATGGAAAATTGGCTGGGATCAACTCGCATTTAGGCGGTGTCATTCAGCGTGTGATCTCTATTGGAACCATAGTTGGTGGAGCAACTGGATTGTTTATGTATTTTTTCAAATCTGGTTCTCTTCCGTATGCTTTTTGATTTTAACTTATTATATTTTTATAATTTTAGATTTCAAAGTTCCCAATCACACAATCCCAGTGCAGTTGCTTGTTCTGTTAATCCAAAACAGTATGAGGAGTCTAAAGGTTTATATTATTTTCTCTAATCAAAAATTTATCTGGGTTACTAATATTTGAAGGGGGAGGGGAATATTTTTCGATAACTTACAATTAGCTAATATTTTAAGGAATATTTGTTTTAAACCTATTTTTTAAGCTATTCTTCCGTATGGTCATTTTACTTCTGATGGACGTGTTGATTCTGGGGCTATTAAGCCACAACAAAGAAACTTTTATGCTCCAAATGATCATTCTACAAAATCACAATATTAGAATTTTTTGGTTGTTTTACGTTTGTGACTTCTACCTCAAAAACGTGTATTTTTTCGTTGAAGGCGATGGAAAGCATTAACTTAATTTCTTTTTTATATTTTTAAGTTGTACAAACTTTTTGCTGTATAGCTTTATTTTTTTGGTTTTCCCTGAAAGTTTTGTTGACTCTTTTTGGACATATTTCTGGGTTTAAATCTTTCGGGTGTCCTTGTTAAAGCTGCTGTCTCAGGCAGTCCCGCTTGCATTAGTTTTTGGAGCCTTGTTTACGTTTTCCTGTACATACGTTTATTGGGGTTAAATATAATTAACAAGTTTTATTTATTCAATCCAACTTTTGTTTAATGGGTCCTTTTCCTTTGTTTATGGGTCATTCAATCAATATAGTCGATTAAAGACATTACAAATATGTCCGCAAAACTTAAAGTGTAGCCATTCTTTTAAATTTTTTCCGCTCAATCTGTGTATTTACCTATATACAATAATTTTATACTTATATAACAGATAGCGGGTTTTTTTGTCTAATTCAACTAGCCAGTAAAAAATTTGAGAGAAAGAGGGATTGAGGAGATTTTTTGGTGTTAATGTTTTTTAGGAAAATTTTTATTTTTTCAATTAAAAATTTTTTACTGGCATATTTTTATACTAATTTATTTTTTTATATGAATTTCTAAAAAAAAATTTTAAATAAATATTTTACTAACTATTTGTCTATATTTTAATTTTTATGGGGAGTTTGCCTTAAACATTTATTTTTTGATTTTGTCTTTAAATTATAATTTTTAGCCCTTTTAGATGAGTTTTCCATTTATTAGACGAAATTTGAGGTGCTTATCTACCACTTATTTTGGGAGCCGTTTGTTGAGCACAACTGGTAGTAAACACTCAGTCTTTAATCCAAATCAATGGTGTGATCCAATTGTTAGTATTGAACAGGTTGTTGAGTTTTTGAATGGGATTTGGGCTTTGGAAATTGTTGGTTGAGAATTTGTTGGTTCCCATATTTTTTTTGCGTAATAGGAGCCTAGTTTTTTATGCCAAAATTGAATCCTTTTGGGTGACCCTGTTTTGGGCAATCCCCTTATTTTTCAGTTTATAATATTGAAATATTTTCAGCTTAACAATCCATTGCCTGAAGATGATCCAAGGCGTTATTTGTACCCAAAACAAATGGAGTCTAACAAGACGCCCGTTTTTTATAGGTTTGTTTTTTATAATATTTTTATGAGAAAATTTTTTTAGAAATGAAATTGTCGACAGGATGGTCAACATTATGATGGTTAAAGGCAAAAAACAATTAATTCGTACGGAGATTTATGGGGCTTTGGAAATTATTAAAAGAGTTCAATACAAGTTTGGAAAATTTTTTAATCTTAAAATTTTGTAAAAATTTTATTTTAGAAAATGGTTGGACGAGAAAGACGAAAAGAAGAAGGCAAAAATAGTTCTAGACCCTTTTCAAGTGGCCAGCTTGGCAATTTTGAATTGTAGGCCAATAATGGAACTTAGACCTGTTGGGAGAAGTTTGTTTCTTTTTTTAGAAAATTTTTAAAAATTATTTTTTTAAAGCCGGGACAGTCTATCAAGTTCCTTATCCAATTAGTGAGCATTACTCAATCTTCCGGGCACTTAAAATGATGAGAACAATTTTGAGAGAAAAATGCAAACATGGACAGAATCGATTTAGGGTATATATTCTTTTATTGTTAATTTGGGTTTTTAATTTTCTTGAAAAATTTTTTTAAATTTGTTTGGATGGGAAAATCTGTTCCGGGATAGACATTTCTTTTCTTTATTTTTGCCTTTTTTCGTTTTAGATAGACTTGTTTTTAATCACTAACCAAAATTTTAAAGATCCGGAATCGAATTTAAAGACACCACATAGATTTCTAATTCGCGCTCATAAGAAACTCTCCCATCTAGCATTATTTCCCCCCTAGTAAGAAGATAAAGGAAAAAAGATTTTTTCAATTTTTAGACTCTATTAGCTCACGAACTCATTGCCGCAATGAACAATGAAGGTTATACAATTCAAGCCAAACAAGAATTGCATAGATTGTGTGAAAAGAATAGAGCATATTCTAGCTTTAGAAGATATTAAAATGGAAATTTTTTGTGTTTTTTTCGTTATAAAATTGGTTTATAAAAATTTTTTTTGATTTTTTAACTTGTGGATTTTTCAAGTAATCTTATATTTTACAAATTGAATTTAAATAATATTTTGGTAATTTACTTGTTTTAGTCCTCAAAGATGACTTCAACAATGACAGCTTTACTTAATGATTTTGAGCAGCGATATTCTATTAATACTGCAGGTTTGTTTTTGAGAAAATTTTTGTTTATTAAGGGTATTGTTTGGGTACTCCGATTTTTCTTATATGATTGTGAGCCTCCCCCTTCCTTTAAATTTTTTATTTTAAGCCCCTCCCCCTCTAAAATTCTGTTAATTTTGAATTCCAACAATTTTCAAAATTTCAGTTTCTCAATTTCAGAAATTACTGCAAAAATTGGACAACTTCAGCAATTGCCTCCTTCAGAAGTCCCTTCTGCTTCTAATGAGATTAAAAAGCTTTTAATGGATGTTGAGGATCTTCTTGAACAAATGGAATTGAGTGTTCGTGAAATTGAGCCTAGCAAGTTTGTATTTAGTCTATTTCTAAAAAGTTTTAATTGTGTTGATGTTTGGCTAAGTTGGGAGTGGTCTTGACTTTAACTTGGAATGGGTCGTGGGTTCGAGCCCTTTAGTCGATTTCGAATATATTTTGACATGTTTTAGCGTTATTAAAGTCATAAAAATTTTATTTTTAAATTTCAATAAAGAAAAAAATTTTTTTATTTGAAGCCCAGACCGTTCTAAATACGATTTGCGTGTTAAAAGCTATAAAAGTGACAAGAAACAGTTGGAAGCAGAGCTTCGAAAAGCTGTGGACCGTATTCGTAATGTTGCTGATAGAGACGAACTTTTGGCTTTTAATGATGCTTCTGTAAATGTTGATCAGGTTTTTAATGATTTTATTGAGATAAAAAGAAAATTTTTAAGCAAGACAAATTAATTGAAAATACGGAACGTTTGGATGCTGGAGCGAGAAAGTTGCAAAACTGCGAGAGAATTACTATTGAAACTGAGCAGGTTTTTTTTCTGTTTATATATTTTTTAAGAAAGAAAGGAAAAATTGAAGGAAAACCTATTCGACCCCTACTTCCGTATAGGGCCAAATTCTATTATTTCGATTAATAAAATTAGAGCTCCTGTGTTAGAGATTTAGCATTGTGCTTATAAAGTCTTTAAAAGGATAAAATTTCATTGAAGTTTAAGAATCTAAACTACCATGCCCCATTTTAAAAATAATAGAACGTTTACGAGGGGGTTTCAAGTTTTTAGAGGTACGGGTTCCAAAAAAGGGATTCCTGGGACAATGGCACATTGCAGGGACATCGACTGATTTTTCTTCATTATCAAGATTGTAGGCAATTTTTTCTAGTCATTCCCATTAACTTTAAAGACTTTTGTTAATTCATCATCTTTAAAAAAATTTTTATTCAGATTGGAGAACAAGTTTTGGGCAATTTAAGCCTTCAAAGAGAGACTTTGACACGTAATCGTGACCGTATGAGAGAAGCTAATTCTGATTTGGGACGAAGTAATCGAATTGTTTCGCAAATGATACGAAGGTTTTTTTAATTTTAAAAAATTTGAAAAATTTTTTCAAAGAGTTATCCAAAACCGTTTGGTGCTTTTGGTTGTTTTTGTTGTTTTAATGTTCTCTTTGCTTTACTTGGTTTATAAAGCTATTTGAAGGAGTCGAATGAATTGTGTTTTGTGAAGGTTTTTTTCTTTTAATTTTTTGAAATTTAAAGTCTGACTATTATTTTGGGTTGTAAAAGGGGAGATTTCAAAATTTTGAAATAAAAATTTCAATATTTTTAAAATATTAATTGAACTATAAAAGACGTAGAACCCCTTCCAAAAAATTTTTGGAATCCCAAAAATAATTTTATTTTGCTTTTTTAGTTTGATTAGAGGGGGGAGTGGCTAAAATTTTCTAATTTTTTGATTCCTCCTTCTTCAAAAAAAATTTTATTGCAAATTTTTTAAATTCTAAATACTAAGACAAAAGTTTGGACACCTGGCGGTGTTATTGTTTGATGAGTTTATTGTGACATGATGAGTCATTACACGTTCATTGTGTTCTATCGACTTAACTCTTCTTTGAGGGATGACTCTTTGACTTTTTCTTAGCGAACCTTAAACTCCGCCTAAACATTTTAAACCATTCCTTTCCTTTCTTTAACCTCCTAAAATTCTTTTAATTTTTTAAAATTATTTTTACACCAAAAATAATAGTCAGATTTAAAAAAATATTTAAATATATTATACTTATATAAACACACATAAAACATTCATTTTTGCTTTTGACATATTTAAGTAAAAAAAAATTATTCTTTATTTTTTTGAGATTCTAAAAATGTTATTTTTATATGCCCATTTAATTTTTTAGATTTTCTTTAAAATTATGTTTATTAGTATTTAAGAAAAAATATAGTCAGTACAGTTCGCCGTCTTTTAACAATATTTTTGTTTTTGACAATTTTTGAGACGTTTTTCCTGGTCAGGGGTTGTTTCGATCTCAAACCACTTTTTCAAATTTTCCATGGCACATGGTTCCAGACCGTTTTTTCGCACGGCTAAAGTTCTGGGAACTTGAAACATTGGCCGTTCCACCTTTTATACATTGACGGTGAATTGTAAAGACGATAAAATGCCCTCCATATCCAATTTAATTTTATTGACTCATTGAATTTAAAATTAAAAATTTTCTTTTGAAATAAATAAATCATAAAATAAAGATGTGTATTTTAATCCTATTTTCTCTCTTTTTTTAAATCTCTCTAGTAAATTTTATTCTTTATTATTTACCTATGTAATTAAAAAAAAGAATAAAATACATAAATAAAATAATTTTTTTGTTTCTGATAACAATTTTTAAAAGCAAATTTTGGGGTGTGCGCAAAAATATTTTTTATGGAGTGAAATAACGCAAATTTTGGCGTTTTGCGTTTTTGTCTCCCCAAAAAATATTTTTGCGCACACTTGATATTTTTTGCTTTTAAAAATAATTGTGAAATTAAAACTAAAGAAAATGTTTGTTCATTCATTTTAAATAAATAAATACTTAAAAATAAATTTTTTATATTTTTTAAATTTAATTAAGAAGAAAATTTTTTTCTATTCAGTGAATGCACTCTTACCTTATTAATTTTATTATTTTTTTATTTATATATTTTTTACCTTTATTTTTGGCTAAAAAGGAAATAGCTTTTCTTCAGTGTATTTGGAGACATGGAGATAGGGTAAAGTTTAAAATTTAAAACTAATTAAAAAATTCATTAAAATTTAGGTGTGCGCAAAAATATTATTTGTGGGGTGAAAAACGCAAATTTTGGCATTTTGCGTTTTTGTCTCCCCAAAAAATATTTTTGCGCACACCTTAAATTTTGGAGTGATTTTTAAAAATTTTTAGGAAAATTAAAATAAAATTTTTTCAAAATTCGAGAAGGGCCAAAATAATTTTTTAAAAACATTTTTAACCAAAAAAACAAAAAAATTAAATTTATTATTTTAAAGGGGCCAAGTAAACTTCCATACCCAGGTGATCCGTATGACGAAAGTTTTTGGCCTAGAGGTTGGAATCAGCTAACAAATGTTTGTTCTTAAGAGAGATTTTTATTTAAAAATAATTTTATTGTAGCTAGGAATGCAACAAATGAATGAACTTGGTCAATTTCTCAGGCAACGTTATGTTGAGGATTGGCCTTTTTTGAGTTCCAGTTATGACCCTGATGAGGTAGAAAATTGGAAAAAAATTTTGAGTAGGCTAATTGATAGGTGACATTTCGAATGTGACATTTTGGGCTGACTCGCCATCATATCATCTCCAATTAATGACATTTTGGACCAAATATATTCCCTTATATACCTCTTCCCCTCCTTGACATATACATCAGAGATGGATCCGCTTCCGCCTTCCGCAGAATTCCGCTTTTTTACAGTTCCGCTTCTGTCTTCTTCCTTAATTTTATTCCGCTTTCGCTTTTTAAAATTGGAAATTCTCCATCCCTGATATACATCCCTCTTTATATTCCAGTTCTTTTTGGACTGTGATATCTGGGAGAGGATAAGTTTATTTAGAAAAGGGATATGTTAGAGCTTGAATATTTGGAGTGGTATAAGTTAGAGTCTATCCATTTTTAATTTTCCAGACTCAAATGTCCAAAAATTTTTTCAAATTTAAATTTTAAAATCTTTCAAGGTATTTGTCCAATCATCAGATTCAAAGAGAGCACTAGTTTCTGCTCAAGCACTTTTACACGGTCTATATCCAGTTATAGATCCAGATGACCAGTTTGACCCAAATCTGAATTGGTTACCTATTGCTGTGCATTCTACAGGGGCTAATAATGAGGCGAGAATAGATTTTATAGTTTTTGACCACTAGAGTCTCAGAATTTTAATTTGAGTGTTTTTTGATTATTCGGATAGCCTGAGGCTCTAAGAAAAATTTCGATCGTGTTTTCGAGTATTTCATCACCAGTTTCAATTAGAGCTAGGAATTTAATAACCGGGACCGGGAAACGGGAAATGAAAAATGGACTGGGCGGGAACCGGGAAAACCTGTTCCCTGTTTTATCCCAGTATTTTTAAAAAACCCGGGAATCCCATTCTTAGCCGATCCATTCCTAGCTCTAGTTTCAAGGCCTTAAAAGAGACTCAAGTGGTATTGCAGGTGGATCATCAATTTTTTATCCAACCCCTTTCGTTTCTTATCCTTCCTTTTTATTGTCTTTTAAGGTTGGGAACTCGGATAAATAGAAGTGATATGGTAGAGATTGGTATAGGTTGGGGGCTTCCATTCTCCAAGACTCTAATGTCCAAAATTTTTTAAAAATCTTTTTTAAGCTTTTGAAACCAACAAGTTTTGAATGTCCCACATATGAAGGAATTAAAAAAACAACAAAAAAAGAATTAGAAAACGAATTAAAAATTAAATATAAAGATTTATTTGAATTTGTGCAAATTAATGTTTTTAATTCTACAATGCCTCTAACACTGCATCAAGTTGCTTCTTTAAATAATTTAAATAGAGAGGCAAGTTTAGTTACTTTTTAATTAAAATTTAAAGGTGTGAAAATAATAATTAAAAGTTTGATTTAGGGTATCCGGAGGGCATGTAGGTATCCGGAGGCACGAATCCTAAGGGCAAGGTTTTAGGGGTGCGATGGAGGATGATTGACAGAACAACTCACAATTAATAATCAGTCATACTCTAACGCACCCCGAAAAACGTGCCCTCAGGATTCGGCCTGCAACCCTAGTTTGATTAACAAATTTTTATTTGTGAGACTCTAATGTCCACAATTTTTAAAAGTTTGATTTTGAATTTCGAAACTGATGTCCACCAAAAATTTTAAATTGAAATTTTTTAATTTCTCAGAGTTCAAAAAATTTTTTAATTTTAAATTAATTTCTGAGACATAACATGCATTTCAGGGATGTGCAAGTTTCACATTTCGCCTATTTTCGGATTTTTAAATTGTCTTTCACATTTCGCCTATTTTCGCCGTTCCTTTTTAAAATCTGTTTCGGCACATTTTCTGATACATATCTAATGCTCTTATAGGCCTTAATAATGAAATCAAGTAAAAATTTTTCTCTCTTTCCAGATTGCCCACAATTTAACTCAACCAGCCTGGGTAGAACGTAAATGGCCTCAGTATGGAAATTGGAGTACTTTAGAATTGGTGTGTGTGAATATTTTTTTAGTTTAAAATTTATTTTGAAGGTAACAGAATTGAGACGATTGGAACGTATAAATGAATTTAATCGTCCAGAAATGGCTTATTTAATGGGTGGTTATTTACTTGGAGATTGGATTAATAGGGCGGAGAAGGTAATTAAATAAGGGCTAATCTTGAATAAAAAAAATTTTTTTTTCAAAAGTTGGAAGGCTCTAAAATAAAATTCTGTGTAAAAATGCTTTAAAAGCCTTTCCTTTTCTGACTCGAGGGCCATTTGAGTTTCGACCAAATTTCCCATTAAGGCTTAAAGATCAGAACGGGTTCGGGACCGTTTCCCGGTCTTCGGGTCCCTTTTCCCGGTTTTTTAAGCAACCGGGATGAAACCGGGAACGGGAATTCCCGGTTTTCTTGGTCCGAGTCCCTCCTGGTCAACTTTCAGAACCATTTTCCCGGGCCCGGTTTTTTTCAAAATTCCAATCTCTATTATGGACCTAACAAAATAAGGATAATCTTTCTAACCTAAAAATATTAAATTTCAAATCCACTACCTTTGTTTAGTCCATTCGGCATTTTTGGCTTACTTTTCAACCCAAGGAGTCTTAAAAAATTTTCTCTTTGACTCTTAATTTTTAATTATTATTAATTTAATTTAAAAAAGGTAATAAATTCAAAATCTCCAAACGAAGCAGAAAAGGCCGTTCTTTATTCTTCACATGATGGGACTTTACAAGTCTATTTTAATTCAATATTTTTTAAAATTTTCATTCTTTATAAAGGCACTTCTAAGTCTAATGGGTCAAAAATTTGATAAATTGGTGCCTTATGCTAGTACTATTTGTATGGAGATATTAAAAAATAATGATACCTTTCATATTGAGGTGGACAGATTTATAAATTATTAGACAAGATACTTGGGTCTCAGAATTTTTTTGAACAAGACACTTGAGATGGAAATTTTTTAGAGCTCTCGAAACTCAAAATTTTTCTAACTATTAGAGGTCGGTGCGAGACGGGATCCCGCGCGGGATTTTACGGGATCCAGTCCCGCAATCCCGCATTTTTTCGAATTGCAGGATTTATCCCGCGGGATCCCGTGCCGCAAAGTTTTTTAGAAAGAATCCCGCATGCGGAATCCCGCATGCGGGATTCCGCAAACACGATTTTACCGATTACTAACTGGACACTCACGTCACAGAATTTTTGGAACTAGGCACTTCTGTATTGGAATTTTCAAAATAATTTTTTCCTAAGTTTGAAATTTTTAAAAAATTCAATTTAGATGTTTTATCGCCATTCCGGTCTCGTCCAACATTTAAACTTCCCAGATTGCCCATTAACTCAATGCCCAGCAGAAATTTTAATTAAATCGTTGAGAAGTAGAGCTATTTTTGAAAGGAAAAGACTTTATCATGTAGGTGTTTTTAGGGATATTTAAAGTTTATTTTTAATTTTTAGCTTTGTGGAAGTGGAGATGCTTATTGTTAAAATGTATGTGCGGAGAGAGAGTGAGGGGTATCTAAAAAAATTAATTTATTTTTTAGTCTATACATATATGTATATTTTTATTTTTAAAAATCAGAATTTTTTATTCTGATTTTTATTCCCCTATGTAGAAGGTGGAGGTTACTCTGGATGCTATTTTTTTTAATTTCAGAATTAATTTTAGAATTAATTTCAGAATTTATTTCAGAATTAATTTCAGAATTTATTTCAGAATTAATTTCAGAATTTATTTCAGAATTAATTTCAGAATTAAATTCAGAATTTATTTCAGAATTAAATTCAGAATTAATTTCAGAATTAACCAAATTGTATTTTATTCTGATTTGTATTTTTTTATTATTAATTATAATTAGATTTTATTCTGCTTTTAAATTCTGATTTCTTTTAATTTATGAATTAATTGGGTATATTAAATAAAAATTTAAAATTCTCTCAAAAATTCCCCCTACAATTAATTAAACGATTCTATTGTTTCTTTAATAATGCCTGCAATTTCTTTAATTTGTTCTTCATTAATTATCTTTAAAAAATTATTTAATTTTATATTGAACGAGAATTTTAATAAATTTACCAATGGAGGGGCTATACGAATTATTTGTTTGGTGTGGGTATTTTTGGCCAAAACACCTTTCTCTTTCAAACGAGTACAGATTTTCCAAGCATCGATTGCTGAAATTTAAAATAAAATTTTAGTAGGCCTCTATGTGATGGACTCTCAATATAGGGGACCATCTGTTTTGTGTATGCGATGGAATTCCCTCTAAAATCGCCTGACCTCTATCTTATGGACTCTCAATGTCAGAGACCCTCTATGTTGTGGACGCTATAGTTTTTTCTCTATAAGCGACCAGACTATGTACAAACTGGGAAAAGAACCTAAATACCTTATTTTTTTAACCCTTCTATATAATGGACGGTATAAATAACAAAATAATTTCTAACATTCATTAATAACAATAGCACATAAAAGTCCTTTCCCTCTAACAGAAGTGACTACATTTTTGGGTAATTTATTCAATTCATTAATTAATAAATTTCCCATTTTTGAAGCATTTTCACACAAATTTTCTTCTTTAATAATTTTTAATGCTTCTATTGCTATTTTTGCAGATAAAGGATTTCCTCCATAAGTTGACCCGTGTTGGCCTGGTTTTATTGTTAACATAATTTCATCGTCAGCCAAAACTGCCGAAATTGGGTAGAGACCGCCAGAAAGGGCTTTGCCTAATGTTACTATGTCTGGTCTGACATTGTAATGATCACAACAGAGCATTCTTAAAAGTGAAATTTTAACGAGATTATTCTAATAGTCGCCCAAAGTACTGCTGCCGTTCTCTTCTCCGATGTACCCTCGGGCATGCCTTCGCATTGGGGGGGGGGGGGGTAGAAATGAATGATATTCATTCGAATCGGCTTGATGAGCCTATTAACAGGGACAATGACGAGCTTTTAGGGCGCAGTTAGTATCAGGCAGGTATTCAAAATTTTCATCGGATCCGGTTCAAAAGGCCAATCTATCTCTTGTTTGGATGAAAGACCCAAAATTCAAGGGTAACAGCACCAACCCCAGTTTTCAACCCAACCAACCTTCCCGTCCTCCCCAATCCAGTCTGTACTTCATCAGCAACCATCAAAACTCGATTTTTTGTGCATAGTTCACGCACTCCTTTTAAATATCCCTCGCTTGGCAAAACAACCCCTGCCTCCCCTTGTATTGGTTCTACCACAAAAGCAGCACATTGTGGGTCCGAAAGTGCTTTCTTAAAATATTTTAAATTTATTTCACAGCAAAAATCACCTCTAATGCATTCAAATCATTAAATTCCACATGCAAAATATTAGGAATAAAAGGCCCAAAATTCTCATAAACTTGAGGATCAGTAGACACAGAACAAGCAAAAATCGAACGTCCATGAAAATTATTTTTGGCAAAAATTATTTTCGCCTGGCTAGAAGGAACTCCTTTAACTCTATTAAAATTTTTTATTTAAATTTTAATTTCTTTAAGAAACTCATAAGCCCATTTTCTTGCTAATTTTACTGCTGTGTCGACTGCTTCAACTCCTTAAGTTTCCAAGTTTAAAAGAAACTAATTTAATTAACGACTCCCGTTATAAGCGACTTTTCTATATTAGCTACGTCTTAAAGACCTGCTTTCGATTTCGAAAGTATTCGACTTCTAAGTAGACAAAATCTCGTTATAAGAGACCTTTCCTTTATTAGAGACCGGAACGGGATTGGGACCCGCTCCCGCTTCCCGGTCATTATTCCCGGCTGTTTTGAAGATGCCGGGGAGATGATGCTTTTCCCGATTCCGGGTTCCGATGGGTTCCTTCTCCTTCAATTTCCTGTTTCTCGGTCCCGGTTTTGCCAAAATTTCGGTCTCTATCCTCAATCCTCTTTTTGATTCGCCTCTAACGAGAGTCGCTTCTAACGAGAGTTTACGTATTTATTTTTACCAGAATTCATAGGCATCATTTTTTGATATCCAAATAATTTAGTCAAGTATTCTGCATATTCCCCCAACGCAGTCGTATATAATGCACGTGATGTTAAAGTCAATTGTTGACATTGGTCTTGCATAACTTTAACTAGTCGAGGATGGCAATGGCCTTGATTTAGGACAGATTGGCCACTTATACAATCATAGTACATTTTTCCATCAGTATCCCAAAGATAACAACCTAAATTGAAGCATGAGGAGAGATCTCTTAGGTAGAGATGGGTCGGAACAGTCAGAGGTGTGTCGGAAATCGGAAGAGCTGGAAATCGGAACTGGCTCAAAAGTCGGAAATCGGAATTCCGACCCACCTCTGCTCTTAAGAACTGAAATATTACTCTTATAATGAGGTGTTTCTGTATCGCTTGGGTATCGCTTATTCTGAATAATGAGATGTTCTGTATTCTGATTTTAAATTTATTCTGATTTTAAATTTATTCTATATTCTGGCTTATTCTGATTTTTAAATTTAATCTCTCTTTACCTTTTCCTCGAGAAATAACGACAGGTATAGGTCTATAATTGTGAGCCCCATATTCTGCTTCTTTGTCGATGTAGTATTGTTGTCCGTACAATCCGGAGAACATGAACTTATAAAATTATTAAATTTATTTATTAAAAAAATTTTTTACAAGTAAAAATGAACCATTAAAATGTGTTAATTTAAAAAAGAAGTGGAAATTCTGTGATTTGTTATAAAAACGACTAATTTAGTGTAATTTATGTGTGTGGTAAAAAATTAAAAAAAGTAAATGGAAGCTTAATTAAAATGAATTTTTTAATTTAATCAGATAATTCCTCTCTGCCTATGATCAGAAAATGATCATATAAAAATACATATAGTAACAAGGGATTTATTTCATAAAAAAATAAATTGTGATTTTTTTAATTATTTAAATTTCAGTTTTAATTCTGGGCTGTTCGCTAACTTAATTGTGATTTTATTTTTTTAAATAGGATATTCTTAAAACTTAAGTTTGTAAAGCTTATTCTTCTTTTCTATTTAAAATTCTGATTTTTCTGATATTCCTAAAACTTAAGTTTGCAAATAAAATTCTGATTTCTTATTTATTCTGACATATCAAACTTAAGATTGCAAATAAAAAAATTCTGATTTTTTAATTTATTCTGATTTTTCTGATATTCCTAAAACTTAAGATTGTAAAAAATTCTGATTTTTTTAATTTATTCTGAGTTTACAAACTTAAGATTGCAAATAAAAAATTCTGATTTTTGTTTTCTATTTAATTCTGATATTTTTAAAACTTAAGTTTACAAATAGTCTTCTGACTTTTCTAAAATTCTGATATTCATAAAACTTAAGATTATAATATATTCTGATTTTTTAAATTTATTCTGATATTGCAACAAATAAAAAATTCTGATTTTTCTTTTCTAGTTAATTCTGATTTCTTAAAACTTAAGATAGTAAAAAAATTCTGATTTTTTATTTATTCTGGTATTTAAATATTAAGATTGTAAATAAAAGTATTCTGATTTTTATATTTGTAAAACTATACAATCAAAAATTACAAAAGTAATAATTAAATATATTCTGATTTTGTAAGATTGTAATAAAATAATATATTCAATCAGAATTACACAAACTGTTTAATTGTATTTCCTATTATTTCTGATACTTCAAGTATTTGTTTTTCGTTAATAACCTGAAAAATATTCTAATTAAAGACTAAGACAATATTAGCTTACCAAAGGAGGCGCAAATCGGATAATTTGTTTGTGGGTATTTTTAGCTAGAAGGCCATTTTCTTTTAATTTAAGGCAAACATCCCAAGCATTTATAGCTGGAAAAATTAAAAAAAAAATTTTTTTTATTTAAAAATAATTTTTTCTAACATTCATTAATAACAATAGCACATAAAAGTCCTTTCCCTCTAACAGAAGTGACCACATTTTTGGGTAACTTATTCAATTCATTAATTAATAAATTTCCCATTTTTGAAGCATTTTCACATAAATTTTCTTCTTTAATAATTTGTAATGCTTCTATTGCTATTTTTGCAGATAAAGGATTTCCTCCATAAGTTGACCCGTGTTGGCCTGGTTTTATTGTTAACATAATTTCATCGTCAGCCAAAACTGCCGAAATTGGGTAGAGACCGCCAGAAAGGGCTTTGCCTAATGTTACGATATCTGGTCTGACATTGTAATGATCACAACAGAGCATTCTTAAAAGTGAAATTTTAACGAGATTATTCTAATAGTCGCCCAAAGTACTGCTGCCGTTCTCTTCTCCGATGTACCCTCGGGCATGCCTTCGCATTGGGGGAGGGGGGGGGGTGGGGGATAGCAATGAATGATAGCTGATTCGACTCGGTTTGATGAGCCGATTAACTGGTGGGACAATGACGAACACTTTAGGCTGAAGTTTGGATCAGGCGGGGATTTAAAATTTTCTTCGGATCAGGTTCTCGAGTAACCCAATCCATCTCTGATTTGGATGAAAGAGACAACATCCAAGCGCAACAGCATCAACCCCAAGCCAACCAACCTTCCCGTTCTCCCCAATCCAGTCTGAACTTCATCAGCAACCATCAACACTCGATTTTTTGTGCAAAGGTCGCGAACTCCTGTTAAATATCCCTCACTAGGCAAAACAACACCTGCCTCCCCTTGTATTGGCTCTACCACAAAAGCAGCACAGTGAGGGTCAGAGAGTGTTTTCTTAAATTATTTTAAATTTATTTATTTCGACAAAAATCACCTCCAATGCATTCAAATCATTAAATTCCACATGCAATATATTAGGAATAAAAGGCCCAAAATTTTCATAAACTTGAGGATCAGTGGACACAGAACAAGCAAAAATCGAACGTCCATGAAAATTATTTTTTGCAAAAATTATTTTCGCTTGATTTGGAGGAACTCCTTTAACTCTATTAAAAAATATTTTTTAATTTAAATTTTTTTAAAAAAACTCATAAGCCCATTTTCTTGCTAATTTCACTGCTGTATCGACTGCTTCCACTCCTAAAGTTTCCAATTTTAAAAGAAGCTAATTTAATTAACGACTCTCGTTATAGGCGACTTTTCAATATTAGCTACCGTCTTAAAGACCTGCTTTCGACTCGAAAGTATTCGACTTCTGAATAGAAAAATCTCGTCATAAGAGACCTGCCTTCAATTCCCTGTTTGACTCGCCTCTAACGAGAGTCGCTTCTAACGGGAGTTTACGTATTTATTTTTACCAGAATTCATAGGCATCATTTTCTGATATCCAAATAGTTTAGTCAAGTATTCTGCATATTCCCCCAAAGCAGTTGTATATAATGCACGTGATGTTAAAGTCAATTGTTGACATTGGTCCTGCATAACCTTAACTAGTCGAGGATGGCAATGGCCTTGATTTAGGACAGATTGGCCACTTATACAATCATAGTACATTTTTCCATCAGTATCCCAAAGATAACAACCTAAATTGAAGCATGAGGAGAGATCTCTTAGGTAGAGATGGGTCGGAACAGTCAGAGGTGTGTCGGAAATCGGAAGAGCTGGAAATCGGAACTGGCTCAAAAGTCGGAAATCGGAATTCCGACCCACCTCTGCTCTTAAGAACTGAAATATTACTCTTATAATGAGGTGTTTCTGTATCGCTTGGGTATCGCTTATTCTGAATAATGAGATGTTCTGTATTCTGATTTTAAATTTATTCTGATTTTAAATTTATTCTATATTCTGGCTTATTCTGATTTTTAAATTTAATCTCTCTTTACCTTTTCCTCGAGAAATAACGACAGGTATAGGTCTATAATTGTGAGCCCCATATTCTGCTTCTTTGTCGATGTAGTATTGTTGTCCGTACAATCCGGAGAACATGAACTTATAAAATTATTAAATTTATTTATTAAAAAAATTTTTTACAAGTAAAAATGAACCATTAAAATGTGTTAATTTAAAAATGAAGTGGAAATTCTGTGATTTGTTATAAAAACGACTAATTTAGTGTAATTTATGTGTGTGGTAAAAAATTAAAAAAAGTAAATGGAAGCTTAATTAAAATGAATTTTTTAATTTAATCAGATAATTCCTCTCTGCCTATGATCAGAAAATGATCATATAAAAATACATATAGTAACAAGGGATTTATTTCATAAAAAAATAAATTGTGATTTTTTTAATTATTTAAATTTCAGTTTTAATTCTGGGCTGTATGCTAAATTAATTGTGATTTTATTTTTAAATAGGATACTCTTAAAACTTAAGTTTGTAAAGCTTATTCTTCTTATTTATTTAATTCTGAAATTTCTGATTTTTTAAAACTTAAGATTGTAAATAAAATTCTGATTTCTCTAAACTTCTGATATAATCTAATTTAAGTTTGTAAATAAAAATATTCTGATTTTCTTTCCTATTAAATTCTGATATATTCAAACTTAAGATTGTGAATATTCTGATTTTTTTTATTTATTCTGATATGCAAACTTAAGTTTGTAAATAAAAATATTCTGATTTTTATTTATTTATTCTGATATGCAAACTTAAGTTTGTAAATAAAAATATTCTGATTTTCTTTTCTATGTAATTCTGATATTCCTAAACTTAAGTTTACAAATAAAATTCTGACTTTTTTAAAATTCTGATATTTTAAATATTAAGATTGTAAATAAAAATATATTCTGATTTTTATTTATTTATTCTGATATCCTCAAACTTAAGTTTACAAATAGTATTCTGATTTTTATATTTGTAAAATTATACAATCAAAAATTACAAAAGTAATAATTAAATATATTCTGATTTTGTAAGATTGTAATAAAAATTATATATTCAATCAGAATTTCGCAAACTGTTTAATTGTATTCCCTATTATTTGTGATACTTCAAGTATTTGTTTTTCGTTAATAACCTGAAAAAATTATTCTAATTAAAGACTAAAAGCAATATTAGCCTACCAAAGGAGGTGCAAATCGAATAATTTGTTTGTGGGTATTTTTAGCTAGAAGGCCATTTTCTTTTAATTTAAGGCAAACATCCCAAGCATTTATAGCTGGAAAAAATTTTTTTTTATTTAAAAATAATTTTTCTAACATTCATTAATAACAAATAGCTAAAAACGGCCGACCTCTATTTTATGGTCTCTCAATATAGGAGACCTTCTATTTTATGGACGCTATGGTTTTCTCTCTATAAGCGACCAGACTGTATAAACCGGGAAAACAACCCAAAATACCTTCTATTTAATGAACCCTTCTATATAATGGACGGTATTAAAAATCTAACATTCATTAATAACAATAGCACATAAAAGTCCTTTCCCTCTAACACAACTGACAACATTTTTGGGTAATTTATTCAATTCATTAATTAATAAATTTCCCATTTTTGAAGCATTTTCACACAAATTTTCTTCTTTAATAATTTTTAATGCTTCTATTGCTATTTTTGCAGATAAAGGATTTCCTCCATAAGTTGACCCGTGTTGGCCTGGTTTTATTGTTAACATAATTTCATCGTCAGCCAAAACTGCCGAAATTGGGTAGAGACCGCCAGAAAGGGCTTTGCCTAATGTTACTATATCTGGTCTGACATTGTAATGGTCACAACAGAGCATTCTGAAAGGGGGAAGGATTTATTCTAATAAACGCCTATTATCCATAAATCATCCTCCAACCTTCCTGTCCTCCCCAATCCAGTCTGTACTTCATCAGCAACCATCAAAACTCGATTTTTTGTACAAAGTTCACGTACTCCTTTTAAATATCCCTCACTAGGCATAACAACACCTGCCTCCCCTTGTATTGGCTCTACCACAAAAGCAGCACAATGAGGGTCAGAAAGTGCTTTCTTAAATTATTTTGAGTGTCAAAAATATTTTTTAACTCTAAGAACCTCCAATTCTGTCAAATTGTCAAATTCTACATGCAAAAAGTTTGGCAAAAAAGGTCCAAAATTTTCAAAACAATCGGGATCAGTAGATGCTGAACAAGCCATAAGAGAACGTCCATGAAAATTATCTCTTGCAAAAACTATTTTCGCTTGGCTTGGAGGAACTCCTTTAACTCTATTAAAATTTTTTATTTAATTTAAATTTCTTTAAAAAACTCATAAGCCCATTTTCTTGCTAATTTTACTGCTGTGTCGACTGCTTCAACTCCTATTAATAGATTTTTTAAATTTTAAAAATTCAATACATTCGAGGTTTATTTTAAGATCTTTCTAACATGTTCCTCCTGAAAAAATCATATCTTCTTATTTGCTTCAAGTTTCAAAATTTTCAAAAGTTGAAGCAAAATTTGCTTCAGGTTTAAAAATTTCAAAACTTGAAGCAAATTTGCTTCAAGTTTCAAAACTGAAGCAAAAACATGAAGCAGCAGCTTGCTTCTACTTCGGATATCTTCTTATTTAGAGGTGTACATTAAACTTGGAGGTGGGAGAGGGTTATTATAGGTTATGAAGATCCCTCAACTAGTGGCTAACCAAATTTTAAAAAATAATAGGCACCCTAAATCGAGGGTTAACTAATTCTGGGGGTATCTTATAATGCGCCTCGACTATATTTATTTTTACCAGAATTCATAGGCATCATTTTCTGATATCCAAATAATTTAGTCAAGTATTCTGCATATTCCCCCAAAGCATTTGTATAAAATGCGCGTGATGTTAAAGTCAACAATTGGCATTGGTCTTGCATAACTTTAACTAGACGAGGATGGCAATGGCCTTGATTTAAAGCTGAATATCCACTTAAACAGTCATAATAACTTTTGCCGTCAACATCCCAAACATTACAACCTTCATTACAATTTTGAGTTAAAAATAAAAATTGTAAAATCTTCCCTTACCTTTTCCATGAGAAATAACGACAGGTATAGGTTTGTAATTGTGAGCACCATATTTTGCTTCTTTTTCAATATAATGCTGGGAGGTTTTTTGTTGAGAAGTCTTTTGTTGAGAAGCAGTCTTGCTTAAATTACGAAATAAAACGTGGACTGTATTTCTGTTGCTCAAGTTTGCAAAATATTTAAAATTAGTTAATAACATTTTACAAACTTAAAAATAATTATTTATAGAAGAATAATTAAGGTTTTTAAGTTTCAAGTTTGTAGTTGTAAAGGAATAAGTTTCAAGTTTTATTTAAGGTTGTAATTTAATTTATAAAACTTAAGTGAGTTAATAATTAAATTCCAAGTTTTAAGTTTAAGGTTAAGTTTTAAGTTTAAGTTTGTAGTTGTGAAAGAATAAGTTTTAAGTTTTTGACTTAAGTTTATAATTTAGGTAAGTTTTAATAACTTAAGTTGGTTAATAATTAAATTCAAAGTTTTAAGTTTGCAATTTATTAAGTTTAAGCTTAAGCTTTAAGTTTCAAGTTTGTAGGCGTAAGGGAATAAGTTTTTTTTATCTTAAGTTTGTAATTTAAGTCTTAAGAATTAAAAGTTGGTTATTAATTAAATTCCAAGTTTTAAGTTTGCAATTTTTTAAGTTTAAGCTTAAACATTAATTTTATAAGAAAATATGCGTGTTTTAATCAAAAATTGATTCAAAAAATAGATTGATTGAAAGCGAATGTGAATGAAAAGACAAAATATTTATGAACAAAAAATATCACGTTTACTTATCACATTACTCCCTTTTGATAGAACTGAGAACATTTTTTATTTATAAAAACACATAAAAAATTTTTCTAATGTTCAAAGGAAAGTTTTTTTTGTACAAAAGATAAAAAATGTTTATTGCAATCTTAAGTTAATTTGATTTACTAGACTTTGGATATTTATTATAGATTATTTTTTAATTTTCACAGACTTAAGTTTGTATTTTTTACACTCGCTTAATTAATTATATACTTAAGTTTATTTTTACATTTTAAGGTTGGTAGTTGTAAATTCCAAGTTTGCATATTAAGTTTGATTTTACAATTTAAGTTTTCTAGGTGTCTACTTATTTAATTTTCACAGACTTAAGTTTGTATTTTATACACAGTGCAATTTAAAAATATTCTTAAGTTAAAAAATTAAAAATAAACTTACAAGTTTGTGTTATGGTGCAATTTAAAAATTGTCAAAACTAATAACTAAGCAATTAATATTTTTGAATTAATGAATAAACAAAATGAAACATTATTTTCAATCTACAAACATTTTTGTTATGATAGCTAGACAATCTAAAGCGCTTGAGATTTCTAAGATTAGCTAGACTGTGCTACTGTAAACACAAATATTTTTTATACGAACCTCACATTCCTTAGTCTGATTAATCTGTGTGTTCGTCCCATTCCTGGACCGGAACCGAGGAAATGCTTTGATTTTTAGGAACCGGAAGAACACTGATTTTTACGTGATTAATAAGCAATTAAAAAAACAAAGGAATTTCAATAAAGTGAATCATGGCTAAATGAGTTTTTTTTCATTTTTTTCAAGATAAAGTAAAGCAGCTGGGCTATAGCTATTTCTCTCCTTTAGCTAGTGCAAAAGGTTACTTGGCGGCTGGGAGCGAACCAGCATCTTCGATAGACCGGACTGATGTGTTAGCCATTACACCACGCCGCCTACTGCATAGCCTTAGGAAATAAATAGCCTGATTTTTACAATCCTGATAAGTTAAACATTCTGAGAATTTACAATTAAATTGTAAAGGCTCATGAATCTGACAAACTTCGATGAACTAAAATTTACTATAAAAGCCTTGTTGATTGTTTCATTCTTCCCTCCAAACGCAACAAAAACTTCAACCACTTCAACTCTACGTCAACACCGTCCAAACAAACATCAAAACGCTTCATGCTCCTCTGCCTCCTTCATCCAATGGACCACAACACCGGACCTTTGGCAAGGAAGTCGTCGACGCTTTGTGCTCTGCTGCTGATATCCATCGCCACGCTTCTAGTGCTTGCAGCTCCTGGACAAGCCATCGTTGAGGAAGTCGGAGTCGCCAAACACACCAAGGATGGAAACAGTGTAACGCTCGAATTAGACAGCAAGCTGGCCAGCGATGACTTGAAATATGCCGAGTACGTGAAGCGTTTTCCCACTGTCTGTAATTTTTTGATCACCAAGGAACACATGTAAGCTGATTCGTTCTTAAAATTTGAAGAAATGTTTTAATTTTTCAGTAAGCTTCTATACGAAGGCAAAGGGTGCACTGTGGAATTGATCGCTAAAAAGAAAGTGGAAATGATCAAATTCACGACTGGATACGTTAAAGATGGCTGTAACCTGGAGTGCGACGACGGTGAAGACAGATTAAAGGGACTTTCAAATCTGTAAGTTAAAGCTAAATGTCGATTTAGACCATCTAATAATACATTTTAGCCTGCCATTCGCCTACAGCAAAAGCAAAAAGGACATCAAAAATTACACCAATGGTCCATTCTACGATGGTAATACCGAGTGCGATACAGTAAGATGTGTGGGGGGCAAGTGCATGAAGGATACATTTCTTGAAGTCTCATGGAGGAAATGTGGTGGTGATGTATCCGCTAAAACCCATTTAAGTAAGAAGACGATTACCTATTTTTTAATGTAAAACATTTATTTTAGTTGGTGAAGTTGTATCAGCTTCTTCAAGCTTGGATCAAGTGGAAGAAGAACAAGGTGGTGATAAGACGGAATTCAATCTGGAGATATATGCTAATAACAGCTTCAAAATGTTGTTTAACGAAAACATGAAAAAATCTTTAGTGGCAAACAAGATTAACTGCACTCCAAAAAACAAGAGGGCCATTGTCGAACCATCATCATGGGAAATCAAAAATGGAGTTGGAGACCTGCAAGGCAAACATCTGCTCGTATTCCATCTACTTCCACAAAATGCTACACGATTGCACGACGATGGCAAATTAATGAATTCTACGAGAGTCAGACCAAAATGTGATCTCTTCATTCGCTTTGTAATACCTTACAATCTTTCTAAAATTCAACTAAATTTTTATCTTTTAGAACAGGACAGACGATGGCTACGAGTTTCTTCGGGTCGACCTTCAAACAACAACTACAAGCACAACTACAACAACACCCAAACCGACACCAAGTACCACATCACCAACTGTCAAGGCAACTTCAACTCCACCAGAGCAAAAGACTACACAGAAAGTTCAAGAAGTAGCGGCCACCGAAGGAGGAAGCAGTGCCTGGTTTTGGATAGTTGTGATTTTTGTGGTGATTGCTGTAATTGGCGGCGCTGTCGGGTTCTACTTCTACCGAAAAAATCAAAAGATAAAAGAAGAGGACGAGAAAGAGAGGTAATGGAGAAACAGTGAAGTAAAATAGCTAATCTCTTTTCTATATTTTCAGAGCAACTCCGAAGGACTCGGCTTCGAAGATGGAATCAACTCTAAAGGACCCGGCCCAGAAGGAGGAATCGGCACCAAAAAAGGAAGTAGACCCGAAGGAATCAACTCCAAAGGACCCGGCGCCGGATAAGTCAGACGCTGTGAAGAGCAAACAGGCAGGCACGACATCGGATATTCCAATTCCAACGGATATGATGTCGGAGGCTAAAGAGGCGGATCAGTAAATTGTGGAGATGAAGAAGGTTGCGGCTAGGACAAAACTAGGAGATGAGAGAAGTTGAGAAGATATAAATTGGAGATAAATATAGAGAATATAAATTGTAAAGAATCTGTAAATCATTCATTCTCTGTCTAATTATTTTCCTTCCCCAATATTCTCCAAATCTCTCAACAAAAATTGTATTTCTCTCTATAATGGCTATAGGCCTCTATCTATATTTTTCCCCTTATATTTCCCCCTATATACCCTATATCCCCTATATACCCATATATTCACATATTAGGCTATATGCCCATCTATATATGTATTATCTATGTGTATCTTTCCCTATATATACACAAATTTCCCTATATATTCCTTATATTCCCTATATATTTGCAGGTTGATTTATATTCCCTGCTATATCTCATTATATATTGTATTGTATGTATATGTATTTTTCTGTATATTGTAATTGTATTGTGATTGTTGTGATAAATATATGTTTGTATGGAATATTAATTTTGTGTTTGTTTTTAATTCCAAATCTAATCCTTATACATAAGGCTAAAAATCTGAGCTAAAAAATCGCAATAAGAATGAGAAGTATTTGATATTGGGGATATAACTTAGGTGGCTCCCCTTAATATTTTCGAGTTTTTAAAAAAAATCATTTTCAGAGTTTCGGTATTTTAAATTTTGTAAAAACGGTTAATTTTTGACAAAAGAATATCAAAATTTTCGGTCTAATGTCGGTATCTATGAATAAAAAATCTAGGGAATAATTTTCGTGGAAAATAGTTTTTACGTTTTTATGATTAAGATAGTTTTAAGATTTTTTAGGATAGCTACCGTATAACCTGTATTAATTGCCCTCCCTCAAATAATTACCCCACTTCTATTAATTACCCCATACAGCGATAGATTGAAACGGTAAATGTCCAGCTCGCATTCTACCTTCTGCAAATGCAGTCCGCAAAGGCATTCTGCAAAAGGCATTTCTACTGCAATCTCCTCCTTTTCTTCTTTCCCTTCATTTTCTTTGAGTTACCAAATGATTGGTTGACAGCTTGGCGTACTTTTTTGTGGCGTTATTCATGAAAAATATTTAATTTATAAAAATTAAATAAAAATTTTAAAAAATATAAATTTATGATAAAGTTGTAAAAAAACTCCGCGGCAAATTGTTGGTAAAAATTTTGAGAAAATTGGTAGACCAAGAATCCAGATTTCTTTCTGTATTAATATGTATGGATATTATGGATATTTTGTGGTATTCGCGGATATTACATATCCGTATCTATGAACATTTCTGGTTTTTAATATTTTATTAAATACAACTCAGCCTAGTTAAAGGTTCCCCTGATTTACAACTTTATCATAAATTTATATTTTTTAAAATTTTTATTTAATTATTTATAAATTAAATCTTTTTTATGAATAACGCCACAAAAAATTACGCCAAGCTGTCAACCAATCATTTGGTAACTCAAAGAAAATGAAGGGAAAGAAGAAAAGGAGGAGATTGCAGCAGAAATGCCTTTTGCAGAATGCCTTTGCGGACTGCATTTGCAGAAGGTAGAATGCGAGCTGGACATTTACCGATTGAAACAATAATTACCCCTTATCAAATGCCCTAAGACACGTTCAAATTTCAAACCTCGTATAATTCCCTCCCTTCGATTAATTACTCCCTCCAGAGGAAGGACGAAACAATAATTACCCAGGGCAGTTATTAAAGGATATGCGGTATTAAGTTTTTTTACACAAGTTTTTAAGTCCTTTTCAGCAATGTAAGGAAAATTTTTTTAGATTTTATAAAGGCCAAGTAGCTAGGAATTTTCCTTAACCAAGAAAAGATTTTTCCAAGGAGTTCGGGAAGATGTTTCCCAGTAGTAGGATCCGAACTGAAATCTTAAAAGAATTTTTAAATATTTCAATATTCCATCATTAATAATTTAAAAAAATATTTGTTTAATTCAGGGGCGGTATTCAAAAAAGCGGGTCAAATTTAGGGTGATATTCATAAAAGAGAGTTGTGGGCAGAGGTGGGTCGGAATTCCGATTTCCGACTTTTGAGCCAGTTCCGATTTCCGACACCTCTGACTGTTCCGATCCAACCTCTGGTTGTGTGTTAGTTTACCCGCAGCTGCGGGTAATCATCGAGTTCTGGGTCGATTTTTTTGAATAAGGATTAACCCTCAAGAACCTGGTAAACTTACCAGGTTCTCCAACCCGCTTTTTTGAATACCGCCCCAGAAGAAGTACAGGAGGAATGGAAAAAATATTATAGTATTTTAATTTTAAGTGCAGGTACTACTATTTGACTTTAGCTTATGAAATTACTGGAATAAATTCCTGGCCTTTTGGCTGATATTTGGCGGAGCAGTTCAACTGAGTCCCGGCTCAATTGAGTCCCGGCCCTATAACTCAAGTACGAATTGATAATTTTTAATGATTTTGGTACCATTTGATAGAGCATTAGATGGGCTACAATATAGCAAAGAATCAAAATTTTTGATTGATTGATAAAAAAGTTATGATCTAAAAACTAACTTTTTCAAAAAAATTTGATTTTTCGGCACTTTATCGATCATAACTTTTTTACCAGTCGGTCGGGAATTTTGATTTTTTGGTATATTGTAGCCTATTTAATGCCCTATCCAATGGTACCAAGAGTAACAAAAGGTGACCATCCCTTCATAAGTTATAGGGTCCGGGACTCAATTGAGTCGGGACTCAATTGAGGTGTACCGGATATTTGGCGTTTTTTTAAAATTTGAAATTAAATTTTTGGCGCACGACCCCGGTCAACAAGGCCTTTTGCAACATGAGATTCTCGTAAAAATCTAACTCGAAAACATTTTAATGATTATATTTTCACACTAATATTTGCACATTTACAATCTTACAAACACAATATATTATCAACAATATTAATGTTATAAGTAAATATACAACAAATCCCTAAATAATTATGAGAGAGATGACAAATATATCTATCACACTTCTTTATATCCTTCCATATACCCTTCACAACCAAAAATATTCCTCATCCCATTTGTCATTCCCAAAGTTAGTTTCATTCTGCTTTTGGCATACGAGTTGGCGATAGTCGAAAAATAATTTGTCTAGCAAACGATCGGTGCTATCCGAAGGGAAAGAGCATTGAAGAAGTTGAAGAAATGAGTTCATATTTGAAGCGTCCATGGCACAGTTGCGGAAATGTTGTTGAGCCTTGAATAGCTTGTAATATTGCAGCTGGTCATTATTCCCCTTAATTAAATATTGTGATTAATTTAAAGTTGGTAAACTTAAGTTTTTAAGTTTAAGTGTGGTCAGATTGCACTTAGGCTAGTCAAACTTTTTTAAAGTTGGTAAACTCAAATTTGCTTAGACTTAAGTTTTTCAAGTTTAATCTTGATTATGTTTGTTACCATTTCTCCAGAGAATAAAGGATCAGAATCCATCTCTTGTGGTCGAGCATCAAATATAGCTCTAGCCAATGCACTGTCCACAAAATATTCTTTGTCCAGCCATGAATCAGAGGAGCAGGAGAAGAAATCTAAGAATTAATTTATTTTTAGATTTATTTTCAACTTAAAAAATTAAAAAGGCACCTTTACTGCTGCCTTCAATGTAGTACGAAGAATCACAGTTTGAAGGACTAAACAGAGCTATACCTCCTGTCTCGGGTACAACTGAAAAGATAAACTTAAGTTTTCAAGTTCAAGCTTATAATGTATTCAAGTTTGTAAACTTGAAATTTTTACAAACTTAAGTTTGTAAACTTAAAACTTGCCTTGTGTTTCAACATCACTCAGCTTATAACCAAATGATTTTGGCACATCCCCACAAGATTTGGTTCGACGAAGAGAAGACAGTTGAACCTTTTTTGTAATCTTAGGATCTCCTTTGTAGTCGTCAACAGTAATCCCAACTTTATCAACTGAAAAAAATTTTTTTTAATTTTCTCAAAACAATTTTCTCTCCTCACCTTTAAAGTCATAATGTACACCAGAACTTTCCTCAATACAACTCAGAGACTCATCTGTTTTAGGAACAACAACTCCATCGAATACTGACCGGTGTTTTTTGGGGTAGAGGTTTGAAGATTTGACCGTTATTTGTTTGTTGTTCATTTCCTCTGTAGAATCCTCAAGGTTCAACTCATCCAGAGCCATTAGACTGTAAGCACTGTTGCTTGGGTTGATTGGAGAATAACAGTAAAAACTGTTATTTGTCTTTGTCTCTTTCAAGGGTTCGTCTTTAATGTTGTCATCTATTCCAGAATCCTCAAGGTTGAATTCATCTTCTAGTCCAGTCACCGATTGCGTCTCCCTAGTAGTTGTGTATCCGTCAGCAGTTATGACTAAAAGAGAAAATCAAAAAATCCAAAAATTTTAATTTCACCATCTGTCCCAACACTACAAGAAGAAACAGTTGGAGGAACTTCTACCCCATATCTTGCATCCAGTCGCAATTTGTTGGAAGGGGGATGCTGTGTTTGTTGGTGGCGGAATTTCTCAATCACAGCGCTAAAGTCCGGAAATGACGACATACATAATAATAGGCTGATATAACTATTCTGTGGTGTTACACTGTCCGGACAGAATTCTTCCACACTCTCACGTTCATCCACATAGTGTGATGGGTTAGAATCGAAAGAATACCCTAAAAGTGAAGAAAATGTTTCATAATTTTATTTCAAAAAAATTCACCTTCCTCACCAACATTGCTTAAGTCGAAAGTTGAGGACATTCCTAGCAGGCTAGCATATCTATTTGGTGGTACACTGTCTGGATATGGAGATTCTTCCAAGACATCTAGTTCATCCATGTAATGTGACTGGTTAGAAGTGAGCGACGAATCACCTAAAAGAAAATTTTAGAAAAATTTTTCCGAAAAATTTTCCAAGAAAAAAATTCTACCTTCTTCGCCAACATAATGACTTCGAACGGAGGCAGTACAAGACCCATCAAGATAGTATGGTGGAGACGAACTGAGATAATATGAACGTTGTAGAGTGAACGTTTTGTCATCCATTACAGCATCAATTTCCAGATCATCATAGGAGCCTCTAACGTTGGAAGTATAGGACATCGTTTCTTCGTCTAATTGGACTCCTAAAAAATAAAATTTATGTTTGTTTGTAAACTTAAGTTTGTGAAATTATTTATTTTCAAGTTGGTGAACTTAATATTCTCAGTCACTTTGATAAACTTAAGTTTTGTTGGCTCAGTAAACTTAAGTTTAGCTTGATAGCCTAAGTTTCTATCAAGTTGGTAAACTTAAGTTTCACTCAAGATGGTAAACTTAAGTTTCACTCAAGTTGGTAAACTTAAGTTTCTGACAAGTTGGTAGACTTAAGTTTCTATCAAGTTGGTAAACTTAAGTTTGCGAATTTTCAAGTTTGCGAATTTGATATTGATTTTCTTAGAAATCAAAAATCTTCACCATTTTTCTCAAAATAACCGCTGTAGCTATTCAGAGTAGAACTTCGAGATGAAGAATTTGTATTCGGAACTTCGACACCATACACTGCCGAAGATGTACAGAATTTTCCATTGAAGTAATTGGATTTTGGATGTTTTTGTTGTTTGTTTGTTGCTTCAACCACAGGAATATCCAAATCGTTTAGATCCACCAAGCTATAACCTCCTCGTGGTGAGAAAATAGAATCCGAATCTGGTTCAGATACGTAAGAAGAAGAAATTTGAACTCCGCGTGTGTTACCTTAAATGTTAGACAATTCAAGAGAAAATTTAAAAACTTACGAGTGCGACCGAACAAAACGCTAGAAGTCAATGAAGGAACCGAATCTTAAATTTTTGGATAAAAGTTTGAACAGAGAAAGTATCCAAAAACTTACAAATACTAGAGCGAGGACGGTATTTTTGCTTTGCCCTTCGTCGACGCTCCTTGTTGTGGTTGACTGCTGCCTTGACAAACAGAGAAGTTGTCGCCGTCCCTCTTCGAATATTCAAGAAGCTCCGACTGATGAAGTGTTTGCACCTTTTGATGAGGGACTGAATATGTCCAGGTTTACGAGGTTTTTTGTACATCATATTAGTCGAAGCAGGTTGTGAGAAATATCAACCAACAATGGCCAACTGGATGAGAACAGAAGATTTAAGTAAAAAAGTTTTAACAGCTTTTATAGCAAAAATTTTGACTTTGTTTTGACTGATCCTATTGTTGTTTGTTTTACTTCCAAGTTTTAAACTTAAGTTTGCAAACTTAAATTCTTAAGTTTCGTTCTTAAACTTTAAAGTTTGCTGTCTTAAATTCTTAAGTTTACGGTCTTAAAATTTTAAGTCTACGATTCTAAGCTTTAAGTTTACGGTCTTAACATTTTAGTGCGCGATCTTGCCAACCTTTCAAGTTTGCGATCTTAAGTTTTCAAGTTTTGACTTAAACTTTAAAGGTTCTGTCTTCATCTTAAGTTTACGTCTTAAGTTTTAAGTCTATGATTTTTAATTTAAAGTTTATGGTCTTAACATTTTAGTGCGCGATCTTGCCAACCTTTCAGGTTTGCAATCTTAAGTTTTTAAGTTTACGAATTTATTCTTTCCATTTTTAAACATTCCTCTCGTCACTTTTTTTCAATTTAATTTTATTAAAAAATAAAAATATAAAATTAGCAATTATTAAAAGACATCATCTCTATGGTTACTATGTAAAAAACAATCTTCTTCATATTGCTCATTATTTTTATTTTTTAATTTGGATAATGGAAATGAGAGGGAAATTAAACAAAAAAGTATATTTATTGAATAAATTTGTTAAAAAAATTTTTTCTAAAAATTAAATGGCTGTCCAAACTGAAACTTTAAAAGAAGCTGAAACTTTACAAAAAGAAGAAGAAGTTATCTCTCCTCAGGAAGAAAATAAATTAGAAGATAATAATGAAGAATGGCGCCCTTTACATATGCACGAAGTTGTTGCTGTTGCAATGGTGGGGAAATAACTTTTTTTTAATTAAAAGAAGCCTTTAAGAGTTTATTTAAAAATTAGTCCCTTGTTGTAAAAATAAATTTTAATTTGAAAAATATTGTAGGGATTGTCTCCCCAAGTTCCACTCATTATAAGATTTCCTCAATTCCCTAAAGCATATTCCCTCCCCACATTTCACTCATTACAAGATAAAAACGGGAATAAATTGGGTATAACTCTTAATATGTCAGAGCAAGAACAAACTCGTTTTGAGGTAATTTACATAAAAGAAAATAAATAACTGATCATAGGGGCTAGATGGAGCCACATTTGGATGTCTATGTCTAGGCTTATCCCATTGTGGCTCTACTCTATCTTCAACCCAAACTTTTTCTTCCCTTCAAAACAAATCCAGTTCAATGGAATTTAGTCTACTATTGTCGCCCTTCCCCTAAGAGCTCGCTCTTTTAATAGAAGGGACTTATCTAAAAAATTTAGCTTATAAAAAATTCTGTAAGCAGCATCTTCAAGAAGGTTTTTTCGAGGTTTATAGCCCTCTTTTCAAAAGAAAATCGAAAAAATTTCTATTTATTTTTCCATAAATTAAAAAGGTCGTTAAAACTTGGTTGCGTCCACGAGACAAAACTAGAGAACGTTTAAAGGAAGAAGCAAACGCACTTACTAATGAGGTCAATACTTCCCTTGTTTTTGAGCCTATGGTAATTAACCTAAATATTTTTTAAATTATTTTAAAATTAAATTCAAAAGCCTATTACAATGGAACGTTTACGCTTACTTAAAAAAATGGGGAGATCCCCGTCACAAAGTAGTTTTGCTGCTTTGAGTGAGTTTTTTTGTAAAAATATAAAAAATAGGATTTTCCCCCTAATTAGTAGTCTATTATTCGAGAATTTTTTTGCCCATTTTTTATAATTTAAAATAGGTATTTGCTTCATTCGTTTTAGAAAAACAAGCAATAAATTAAAAATAAATTATTTTTATTTAAAAGAGCCTCATTATAAGGTAGATCTATTACTAGAGAAGGTAAAACTAAATTTGTGCTTCGCGGTTGACCAGATGCTCAATTACCCCCACGCTCCTCCTGCATATACCGTGAGTTCTCTAATAGGCTGGCCGGCCATTCTATTTTTCAATCACCTTCAAAAAGGCCATTCTAATAGAGACGATGGTCATTCTAATAGAGAATTTACCGTAGCTATTTTCACCTTGCCTTTGTCTTTCGCTCTTTAAAATTAGTTGCAGTCTCGGCACACCCCTGACACCGCCATTAAGATAAACTTTCTAAAATTTGTTGTCCACAGGGTGAAGCAGTTAACTAAGGATACCGCCCTATGCATCTTATAAGCTATTAATTTTTTCAGTACCAGGGGGGTATAATGAGGTCCGTGTTAAAATCTTTTTTTAATTTTAAGAAGCAAAAATATCAACAGCAAGTAATCCAACTCAATTACCTCTTGTTTTACAAGTCGAAAATAAGACCAATAAAGAAGAAAATACTGTAGAAAATGAAGAAAACGGAACGCCAGGAGAACAAGATTTGTTAAATGCTGGGAAGAGTAATGGAAGTATTTTAAGGGAGAATAGGTGAAAAACTTTAAAAATTTTTTTCTAAATTTTTGTGATCTACCCAAGAACAAGTGGTCATAGGTTCTGATTTGGGAAGAATATGGATATACAAGTAAACCGTATTTCTTCTAATAGTGCGATCGGTCGATTTATTTTTCAACCTTCCTCTAGGGGGTCGGTTTTTTAGAAAGGGTCGGTCTAATAGAGAGAGTAGTCGGTCTAGTAGATAGAGAGAGAAGAAATACGTTATATACTGGAAACATTCCCTTAGTTCATTCAAGTATCCGTAAACACGGAAATTAAAAAACTTTCTTGTCCAATAAGGATTTTGACCATCTTGCCCAAAAGAGATGAAAAGGGAATTTAAGGGTAAAATTATTCTTTAAAAATTTCCAGAACTGAACAGAACGAGTTAGAAAATCTAACGAATATTGTAGATCCAGAAAGAGGATTAATTGGAGTTTGCTTGGAAAGGAATACAATTTTAATGTTGATAATGAAGTGGATTAAAACAATTAAAAATAAATTAAGGTAAGTGTAAGGAAGGGAAAGTTCCAGCTGGCTAGCATTTAAAACGCTCACTGGACGGGGGTTTAAAGTCTATTAAAAGAGAAGGCAGCGTCCCGGTAGCTCAGTTGGTAGAGCACCTGTACGTGGTGAGCGAAAGCGCCTAGCAATAACTGCCAGGAGGTCGCAGGATCGGGAATTAAACTTTTATTACCTCGCTCTTACTAAAGGTAAAGGAAGGTGAGCTAGAACTTAAGTTTTTCTGTCAAAAAAATTTTCCTTTGTTCGCAAATGTCGACATGCAAGGCCGCAGAAGTCTTTCAAATTAGCAATAAATTTTTGAGTTAGGTGGGGGTAACTAAAATAGGGGGGGGGCATTCCCTAATTTATCAATTAAAAAACATCAACAAACACAAATAACCAATTTATCTACACACAAAAATACAATGAAATACAACAATTCAAATACAATACAAACAACAAGAAATATACAATACATACAATGAGAGCAATATATGGTGACACAAATTTATCACAACTGGATCCCCTCTTTCGGGTTATTATCCTGTTCCGGCTGCGGAATCCACCTCTCATCAACCTCCTCCTCCACAGACTTTGGAACCTCAACACCGCCAGCGGCGCCTCTACTCTCCTCCATTCTCTCCCTCTCCTCAGTTGTCGGCCGCTCCTCGACTGAAGACAGCTCCACCGCGGTCTTCATTTCGCTCTCCTTTCTCTGAAAAATGGAAAAATATAAGATTGGTACAAAAGAATGTTTTAAACTCACATTCTTTTTCCATGCAGAAAATGTCCCGATGGCCTCTTTGCCTTTGGTCTTCTCCTCAGCCTTGTACAGCGAAAGCAGACGTTCTTCTTCTGCACTTTCAGCGTCCTGCTTCCCTCCCTTTTTCTTATCCTTTCCTGCTTTCTCCTTCATCAAGAGCCAGACCAAAACTGCAATGATGATCCCGAAAAAGACGCCAGAAGCAGCAACGCCAATTGCAAAGTAGAGACCTCCGCCACACTCCTGTTGTTCCGGGCACTTTGTCGTTGTTCGAGAAGTCGTCTGGATGAATTTTGTAGCTGTTGCTGAAGAGCTGGAGGAGTCTGTTGTCGTCCCAGGCTCTGATGTTCCCGTTGTTGGAGCTCCTGTGGTCGCTGCGGTAGTCGTCGTAGTCGGTGGCGTTGTTGTTGCAGAGGTGTTGACAACGAGCAGGCTGTAGTTGGTCGTAGCCTGGAAAAATGAAATTAGTATAAAAATTGAACAAAGGAGCTACATAAAGGTAAAAAATCAAAACTCACAAATTGAACGAAGAGTTCACAATGCGGTCCATTTGGAGATTTAGAGCGTTGACCATCAACGTACACAAAAGTTGCGTTTTGTCGAAGCAGGCTGAAGACAAGCAGGTGTTTGCCCATGTGCTCTTCATTCGTGATCGTCCATGTTTCCGGGTGTACGATTGGATCCTTCTTTGGCACGCAAGCAGCATCCTCCGTAGCGTTGAATGTCTTTTCTTTCGTGAAGTCCATCGTGAACGTGCTCGTAGAACTTATCGTCAGATTGAGGGTCATCTCACCATCCACCATCAGCCGGTCCTGTTGCACGCTTTGAGACACCTTTTCCCCAACTTAAAAGAGTTTATGATAAATTATGTATTAACAAATATGTAAAACGAGTCTCACCTATATGAGTATAAGCTGACACTTGCTTCTTAGCCCTACACCACGAGACTTCAAGAAATGTCCACAGCATGCATGTACCGCACATATCCACATTGCACTGCTCCTTCGTTTCATTGTGCCAGCCACTGTTGAGCTTATCGATGATCGTGTTGTTTTTGCTGTAGACGAAAGGCAGGCTGTAAAAAGTAAGGGAATTAAGCTAATTACTTTGTTGAAAGAAAAATGCAAACTTACATATTATTATGGGTTTTGCTGAAGATGAAACCCTCATCAAGGCATTTGCTGAGATTTCCACCTTTTGGGTTTCGCACTCCGGTCGTGAATTTGATGATGTTGATGTTCGCCTTGTTCTCGCTGAGCAGGTCCACAGTGCATCCATTGCTGCCGTAGTTGTACCGAAGCTCGCTGAAACAAAATAAAATGTTAGTTACAATTAGCCTTAACAAAGAATAAAAAAGTCCTCACATGTAGTCGTCTTCGATTGTAACATCGCATGCGTCCGGATACAGCTTTCTGTAGTTAAAATCAGCAAGGTCGAAGTTTGTTCTGCTGGCAATTATGGTGTTGGCGGCGAGCGTCACTTGCTTGTTGTTAATCAATGTGTGCTTGCCAAGTCCGACTTCTTCGATTTTGTCCTGTCCGGGAACTACAAGTACGGCGATGGTGAGCAGCAGCAGCAGAGAGCACAGCGTTGACGACTTTCTGGTCCAGGGTCCGGTGTCGAGCTCCAATGGAAGAAGGCAGAGCATGAAGAGTGTTGTTGTAGACAATGTAGACGTTTGAAGAGTTATGATGATAGTTTTGTAGAGGTGTTGGTAAATGAATAAATGTCGGGGCTTTTATAGTAAAATGACTTGTATATTTAATTAGGAAAATTCTGTGGCCAACCAAGATTTAAAAGAACTTATCTCAAACTGAGAATGTTTCTAGATTGAGAGTTATGAGGTCCAGAACAGACGTGGGCGAAACGTTTCGTTTCGTTGTTTCGTTAGTTTCGTTATGTTTTTTCCTGTTTCGTCTCGTTTCGTGACGAAACACTTTTTAGTTTGTTTCGTTTCGTTTTGTTAACGAAACACCTGTTTCGTTAACGAAACATTACCCATTTTTTAAACCAAAATATTACCCAAAAACTGAAAAATTTTCCCCTTTGGTGATCAAAATTTAAAAAATTTTTGCCTGCGGCGCTGAAATCTGGATTTTAGGCGCCTACGGCGCATAATTTACTATATTTTTTTGAATTTCTCGTTTGATTTTGTTTTTCTAATATGCAAATTAATTCCCGATTTTAGGGAATCAGGAAACGGGTCGGCAGGTCTCTGATATACACATATTCTCAACACATAATTCGAGCCTGGGACCACAATTTAAAGTCCCACTAAGCTATTAGATCAATTATAGGCCATAACTGGCCTAATAACGTGTCTAAAATCGAATAATTAAAAAAATAAAACCGTTTTTATTAAATTTTCTGAAAGTTAAAATGTTTCGTTTTGTTTCGTTTCGTTTCGCTAAATTTTTACTGTTTCGTCTCGTTTCGTTAACGAAACGATTTTTAAAAAATTTTGTTTCGTTTTGTTTCGTCTGAAAAAATTTTGGAGTTTCGCCCAGGTCTGGTCCAGAAGTAAGAGTTTAGCATAAGCTATGCAGATGTTCTAACACTGAGTTACTTTTCTCCTTATAGATAGCTTAACCCCGTCTAAGCGTTTTAAATGCTGCAAGATTAATCGTCTTTACACAAAAATAATTTTAAAAAATTCATTTAATAGTTCAATATCCACAACCTCAATAAATCCAAACGGAACATTTTATGCTTGTTGGACATTTTTAATTTATTTAGTATTTTTATACAACGCTTTTGTTTGTGTTTTATTTGTTTTTGATGATACTAGAGAGGGGAGCCCTTTATTTATTTTTTGGATTTTATTAAATGGTTTGTTGGGGAATAATTTTAATTTTTAATTTAAAAATTATTTTTAATTAAAGGTTTAAGTGATTTTATTAATTTATTCGATTTATTAATGAATTCAAGATTGTGTTAGTTTAATTTTTAATTTTTTGTTTTTGGAGTACAGTCGACTAGCCCGATTTTACTGTACACCCAAAACCCTTACACAAGGCACTAGAGACTTCCAAGTCAGAAAATTTTCGAAGACTCAAGACCTAGAGTCTTGGAAGTCTCTACACAGTAGTGATGTTCGGGTATCCCGACTCCCGACACCCGACTCGGGAAATTTCCCGAGTTTTTGGCCTCCCGATCCCGACCCCGACTCCCGATGCCAATTCCCGACTAAGTCGGGAAATTTTTACACCCCTAAGAATGGCTTTTTCTCATAAAACTTTATTTTTGAAAGGAAAAAATAAAGAAAAAAAAGAGAAAGGAAAAATAAAATATTTAAATTTTTTCCAATTTAACTATTGTTGAGACGTAGTTGAGTGGTTAAGTTGAGTGACTTCAGTTGCTTTGTTGGGGCTGGGTTCGAATCCAGGGCTGGTAAATGTTTTTAAATAATTTTTCCACCCAAAAATAAATGGTTTTAACATTGATTTTGATTTTAAAATTTTAAAGTTATTTTTTTCAATACTATAAACGTCAAAAAATTCCAGAAATATTGAGTTAGTCATGGATTTTCAAAAATTTTCGGCTGCGGCGCAGAAAATGAAAAATATCTGACTTCTTAGCAGTGATGGGCAAAGTTCCAGTTCCAGTTTCGGAACTAATTAGTTTTAGTTCCAGTTCCAGAACTGGAACTATGGAACTAACGATTATCTGGAACTAGTTTGGAACTAGAACGACGGAACTAGTAAATGTCTGGAACTAGCTTTGGAACTAGTTCTGGAACTAGTTCTTGGGGGTATATTTTTGACAAGATTCCCTCGATGAAGTTTCTTAAATTCTCAGAATGTTCGCTTGCGGCGCAGAAAAAGTGGATTTTTTGGCCTACGACCTTAGAAATTCTCAAAAATAAAGGACGAAGTCTGGTTCTTAGCCTTCGACTTAAGAAAATTTTCGCCTGCGGCGCGGACAAAGGATTTTAGATTGTCGAGAGTGATCATAACATCAATGGCGTATCCAGGAGGTTAGATGTCTGGCTTCCTAACCTTCCAAAATTTTCAAAATTTTCGCCTGCATAGCAAAAAATTGGTATTTTTGGCGCCGAAGGCGCCAAAAATTTTTTTGTTGTAAATTCCCGACTCCCGATCCCGACTCCCGAGGTCATTTCCCGACCCGACTCCCGTTTCCCGATTCCCGAGTTTTTTCTTCTCCCGAACATCACTACTACACAGCCAAAAAAAATTTTTCGCATCGGGTGGAAAAGACCATTTTCTAGTTTTAAGGATCACAAAATTTTAAAATTCACATGATTATTGATTTCCGAAATCGTGGTTATTTTTGTATTGGCTAGATCTCTGACATATACCCTCAATTATAGACACAATTTTTAATTTGATTGCCCGTTGGGTCCGGTGAAGGAGAGCAACGAGGGCCTGATCAACTTTTAAGTTTATCCTAGGATGTCCCGGGCATATTCCCTCCGTTATTCATTATTCTGGGGTTTGGACCCACCACATTGGTAATATCTTACATTGGGGGTCCCACCTCTATTATTCGTCTAATTTTGGATAATCTCATCTTTACGCACAACACATCTTTACTCGATCAAATTTTCCCATACAAATTTTCCAACGGACCTATCTATAAATATTTCGACTGTACTATACCCATAAATTTTAAATTCAAATAAAAATTAAATATTGCTAAAGCTTATATTGACGATGGAATGCATGTGACTGACCTGAAACGTTTAGCTAAAAAATATTTTCATAGGTAAAATAAAGATTTTTAATTACATAAAATTTCAAAGTTTCCATTTTCTAATGGATTTACTTGCTCTACTTCCTTTTGATTTAATTTTATTGGTAAATAAAGGAATTTCGCTTTCTCGGTTTAATAGATTAGCAAAATGCTATAGAGTATGGCAATTTGTACAGGTAATAAACAGAGACTCTTAAAATATTATTTAAGTTTGTAAAATGCAAAAATTCTGATTTTTAAATTGGGAAGTGAATAATTACAAAACTTAAGTTTCTGAAGTTAAGTTTATAAAATAAATTCTGATTCTTAATTTCAGAAACTTAAAATTCTCAAACTTAAGTTCCTAAAAAGAATTCTGATTTATAATCCTTCAAGCTTGAAACGTTAAAATTCTGATTTTTAAATTCTGACACTCAGAATTATAAAAACTTAAGTTTCTGATTTATATTTATTTAATTCTGAAATTTAAGTTCCTAAAAATTCTGATTTTTAATTTCATAAACTTAAGTTTCTGAAATTTAAATATCAGAATTTTCTTTAATTTCAGAAACTTGAGTTTAAGTTTTTAAGTTTTTGAATTAATTAAAATTCTGATTTATAAGTTTAAACTTGAAACTTTAAAATTCTGATTTTTAAATTCTGACATTCAGAATTATAAAACTTAAGTTTCTGAAAGTTAAGTTTATAAAATAAATTCTGATTTTTAATTTCAGAAACTTAAAATTCTCAAACTTAAGTCCTAAAAAGAATTCTGGTTTTTATTTCAGAAACTTAAGTTTCTGAAAATAAATTAAAATTCTGATTGATAACTTTTTAAGGGTATAACCAAAATTCTGTTTTTTTGCCTAATTAAAGATAAACTCACAATAATCTCTCTAGAAAAAAATTTTTTTTTAAGATGACAAATGTACGTACTAATTATCCAAATGCTTTTCGTATTCTTCACATAGTTGTTGTATGTGTTGTTTTATTTCATTGGAATGCTGCTCTTTATTTTAAAATTTCCTTAATTTATGGAATTTTTAGTAAGAATTTTTTCTGTAAAATAAAAAAATATTTTTAAGCAACCGATGCTTCTGCTTGGGAATTTAATTACTTAAAAAATCAGGTGAAATTTCAAGAAAATAAAAGTAAAAATTATGTTAAAGGATGTATGGTGGGTACGTTGTGGTCAAATGTTATGGGCAGAAATACCAGAAGGACATTGTTTTTTTAATGAAAGTGGTTTGGGTGATCCGGATATTGATAGAGTTAATTATTTAAATGAGATGGTTAAATATTGGGAAAATCGGTTAATTAATTTTTAAAAATAAAAAAATTCTTTTCAGTTAATTTTAAATTTTTAAAGAATTTTCCCAGAGAAAAAAGCTTAGTCGGTGAAATTCTGAAATAAATTCTGATTTTATAAATTCTGAAATTTAATAAACTTGAAACTTAAAATTAAATTCTGATTGTAAAACTTAATAAAATAGCAAACAAAAATTCTGAAAAAAATAATAAAATTCTGATTTTAATATCAAAAACTTAAGTTTATGAAAATTCTGATACTTAAAACTTTGTAGCTTAAAACTAAATTCTGATTATTGAAACTTAAAATAATAACGAACAGAAATTCTGAAAATAATAAAATTCGGAATTAAAAAAATTCTGATTCTTTAAAATTCTGATTTTAATTTCATAAACTTAAGTTTATAAAAATTCTGATTTATAATTCCCCCCCCCCTAAACTTTTGTAACTTAAGTTTCTTACCTCACGTTTTAAGGGCAGAATAATAAATAAATTTATATTCTTTAACAGTTCAATGCTTGTTTCATTCAGCAACTTTAGTAAACAATATAGCCTAAGTTTTTATTGGTCATCATTAACATTAACTACTTCTGGACAACAACCTTATCCTACAGCAGCAATGCATAATTCTTTAGAAATTTTTGATACAATTGTTGGTGTTTTAGTTTTTGCTGTTATTGTGGGAAGTGTGGGAAATGTTGTAAGTGAAATATAATTATTTTTAAGTTTGTAAATTTGAGAGTATAAGTACATACTATATTAAAATTCTGATCCTTAAAAATTCTGATAACTTAAAATTCTGAATTTTAAAATTCTGATAAACTAAAATTCTAAAATAAAAATTCTGATTCATAAAGAATTCTGATTTTTATTTTTAGAAATTCTGAAAATTCTGATCCTTAAAACTATGAAATTTAAAATTCTGATATTTAAAAATTCTGAAACTCAAAATTCTGATATCTAAAAATTCTGAAACTCAAAATTCTGATATCTAAAAATTCTGAAACTCAAAATTCTGATATTTAAAAATTCTGAAATTTAAAATTCTGATATTTAAAAATTCTGAAATTTATAATTCTGATGTCTTAACATTCTGAAACTCAAAATTCTGATTTTAAAAAAATTTTAAAACAAATTAAAAAATAAGGTAAGCACAATGAATATAGGACGAGCAGAAATACAACAATTAAATGATGGAATTAAGTTTTATATGAAATATAGGTAACAAATAAATACATAAATTTTTTAAATTTCAAATTTACCAGAAATGTATCAGCTACAATGCAAAAAAGAGTTTTAGATTGTATTAATTATATTCAGAGACATGCACAAATACAGGACGAAGGCGTAAGAAATTACAATAAAATTCTGAAACTTAAATTCTGAAATTTATAATTATAAAATTAAAATTCTGAAACTCAAGTTTCTGATATATATTTATTTAATTCTAAAACTTAAGTTTTTAAAATAAATCCTGATTTTTATTTCAGACCCTTAAATTTTTAAAAATAAAATATCATTATAAAAATTCTGAAAAAATTCTGACAGAAAATTCTGGTAAAATATTCTGATTTATAACTCAAGCTTTTAAACATAAAAAATTCTGAACTTAAATTTTAAACTTAAATTCTGATATTATTTTTAAGGCCGTTCTAGGAACAATTCCCCCACGTTTAAGAGGAGAATTAGCCGTTCATTTACATTTGGTAATAAAAAACCTAAAATAAAAATTATAAAAAATATTTTTAAAGGAAAATCTTAGACGTATAGAGCTTTTTACAGAATGTGAGCCTTCTCTTCTATACGAGCTTGTTATTCGTTTTACAATGAAAATGGTTAGGAAGGGGAATTTTTTAATTAAAAAAATATTTTATAGTTTGCTCCGAACGATTTTCTATGTAGGAGTGGGGATTTGGCAAAGGTAATTATTCGGATATATTTATTTTATACCTATATGCACTTTAAATTTAAAATTCTGAAACTAAAATTCTGATATTAAATTTTGAATTTAAATTCTGATTTATAAATTCTGGTACTTAAAATTCTGATTCTCAAAAATTCTGAAATTAAAATTCTGTTTCTGATACTTAAGAATAATAAATTAAAAATTCTGATCCTTTAAATTCATAAACTTGAGATTCTGATGATACCTAAAAACTACAAACTTTAAAATTATAAATTCAGAAAAATATAAATTCTGATAATTCTCAAACTTAAAAATAAAAACAAGAACATACTTAAATTCTCAAAATAAATTTTTAATTTTAAACAGGACATGTTTGTATTAAAAAGGGGAATACTTGACATTTTGTCTGATAATGGCGAGCACTATTCCAGATTAACCCAAGGAGGGATATTTGGTGAAATGGCTATATTGAAACCTTTAGGGCCGTTGGGGAAGTTGCTAGCGAGGAGACGGTAATTTCCTCAAATTTTAAAAACACCAAAAACCTTTCCCTAAAAAGTTATTCTCTCCGTTCTGTTGGGTATTCAGAGGTTTATTTACTTAGTCAAGAAGATGCCTTAGATGTATTTTCGGATTATCCTGGTAAATTTAAATTTTTAAAAATTATTCTAAAAAATATTTTTTATAAAGAACAAAGAAATGAACTGATTAGGAAAGGTAAAAATAAATTTTAAAAATTTTAAAAATTAAATAAAAATTATTTTAATTAAGCAACCTCTCTATTACTCGAAAACAACGAAATTTGCTTGGAGGATTTAGTTGAAAAAACAAAATTTAATCCGTTTGAGTTAAGCGGAACGGAAAGTGTTAATGTATAAAATAAATAAATTTTTATATTAATTTTGGAACTTATTTTTAAGGAAATATTTCAATTACTCAAAGAAACATTGGATAAACTAGATAAGGAATTAGACACAGTTTATGTCAAGTTTGCGGTAAATTTTAATTTTTATTTTTTATTTTTAAGTTGCAATTGAAAATGTCAACTTAAAACTTAACCTTAAACTTGAAATTAATTAAGCTTGAAATTAAAATTCAAGTTCGATAACAAATAGTCCTATAATGATTAATATCTTTGTTACTTAAGATTCTGGTAAATAAAATTAATAAACTTAAGTTTCAGAAAAAATAAGTTTATTACGCTTAAGATTCTGATATTTAAATTCTGGTATTTAAATTAAATTCTGATATTTTAATTCTGGTATTTAATAAACTTAAGTTCAGAAAAATTAAACTTAAGTTCAGAAGCACAACTTTATTACACTTAAGATTCTGATACATAAACTTAAGTTCAGAAACTCAAGTTTATTAAACTTAAGATTCTGGTATTTTTAAATTAAAATTCTGAAAAAAAATAAAATTTCAGAACGCATATTCTGATTTAAATAAATCAGAATTTAAGCTTTCAACAATAAAAAATTCTAATTAAAATTCTGAAACTTAAACTTAAGATTCTGATAATTAAAATTCTAAACTTAAGTTTATTAATTTATTCTTTAAAGTTTTGATAAATTAAAATTCTGATTTTAATTTTAATTCTGATTTTTTTCAATTTTCTTCCCATTTTTCTTTTATAGGGTAGCAGTTCATCCTTAAAAAAGCAGGTGACAAAACTAGAAGGTTTATATCTCGAGAACCGTCAGTTACTTAAAAATACTTTTATGAGAACAACAAAGAATCTAAAGAAAATTTAATATTTAAAATTTTTAAAAAATTTTTATTTATTTTTTAATTTTTATTTTTAACATTTTTTCCAGACAATGTAAAAAAAGACCAATTGTTGATATTATAAAAATATTTTTTAAATAAAAATTCGATTAATATTTATTTTAATGTTTATTAGTTTTGTTTGTCCTACAAACGTTCTCCCCAAAGATTTACACACACAAATATTAAATGGAATGTCAAATGATCTTTTTTTAATTGCAGCAAACTGAGTAATACACACAGGACTATTTTTAGAAGGGAAAATTTTTTTCGGATTTTTTGAATTTTTTAAAATTTGTTCTTGAGTAGATTTGGGGGTAAATTTATCTATTTTCTAAAAACAAGAGGTATAAGGATATTCGAATATAAAAATCTCCCAATCTCTCAAATTATCTCTCAATAACTGAAGGCATATTTTTACAAATGAGATCCTCTGAAGCATTTCCTAGTTGATAGAACATCTACCGAAGAAGATCGTTATTGCTCCCTCCCTTAAATAATAGCGCGTATAGGAGTAGATTGGAGAAAGGAGTACATCTACAACTTTAGCCCTTTACATACTGCTTCACTCCACCCGTCGTCCTCTCCTTTAATTATTATAGGAGACCAAAATTTCATTTGAAGTCTTGGAAAAAACCCCTATACACCAGTCAAATTGAAATTTAATTTTTATTTTTTAAAAATTTATTTTTTTTTAATTTTTATGTGTGCTCATTTAAACTCTCGAATTTGGACAAACTGTCTTCCCTTTAATAAATTTAATTTTCTTTAAGAGTCCCTTACGAAATTTATTTTTATTAAAACACATGAAGATTAAATGAACTAAAATAAAAAAAGAAGGAAAACGGTCTGCTGACAGGTCCAAAAAATATTTTTTTTATTTTTTTCTGGTTGTCGGTCAGTCATCTGCCACATTCAACCTTTTTTGAAAGGGATGTCATATGAGTAGAAAAGTAAGAGAGAGGGAATTTCTCTAAGGAATTTAAAAATACCCTATTTATTTTATCTTCATTCATTTTTTATTTTTATGTTTGCTCATTAACATTTGCGGACGGAAATTTGCGGACATAAAAAATTTTTTTGCTTATGTTCTAATATAGAATTTTGGAGCTAATAAGGGGTAGTTTACAACACCATAATTAAATGTAAAGGTTTAGAAGAGTTTTGGAAGACTTGACATTATAAGATACAAGATGATTAGGTATACCTTCATGAAACTAGCTTCTGACTAGCTCCTAGCATTAGTGCCCAGGCACCTGGATCCCGTTAATATTATACTCCCATTAATGTTTTATTAATGTTGTTGGCAATTGATTGGATGAAGCTGCCTAAAAGATACCTTCACCACAAATATAGGTAGGTATTCAGAAGACACCATAGAAAAGTCAAGTAAAGTTTTATTTTACAACTTATTTTAGTATACGATTACTCAGCCCTAAGGGCTTATATTTTAAGAGATTCAATTGTCTAACTTGGGAGATCCCATAAATACAGGTCCAAAAAATATTTTTTTCTATTAGGGTTATCGGTCAGTCATCTGTCTTTTTATCCATAAAAATTTGAATTTGGTAGATGTCCGCAAATTGTGTCCGCAAAAGTCCATACACCCATTTTATTTTTCAAATAATTTTTTTCCATTTTCTCTCTTTTCCGGTTGTTATATTTAAATAGGAAAAAAATTTTATTTTAGTCAGAAGACACATTTTCTCTATACCAAAAATGCAAAAAGTAATTAGCCTTTGGGGGGGGGGGCATTTCAAGAGTATGATGTAAAATACAAAAATAACCAAAAAGACCAAAAATTGGTTTTTAAAAAAATTCTATAAATATTTGATTAATGTGTAGTTGAAATTGTTTGTTTAATAATTTGTTGCCTATTCTAGACATTTTACATAAAAATTTTTTTCTTTTTTTTTTAACATTTTCTGTCTCAAAGAATATTTGTTAATTACTAGCTGATTAAGTGAAAAATAGTCTATTTTAGTGTAAGAAAATAATAAATCAGAATAAAAAATTCTGATTTAGAAATAGACGAGAGAGAATCTTTAAAAACAAATCAGAATTTTTAAATTAAAAATCAGAATTAAAAATCAGAATTTCTGTAACCGGAATTAAAATCAGAATTAAAAACCAGAACTAAAAAATCAGAATTAAGAATCAGAATTTTTAAAATCCGAATTAAAAACCAGAATTAAAAATCAGAATTAGAATCAGAATCAAAAATTAGAATAAACAAATCAGAATTAAAAAGCAGAATTTTAAAAACCAGAATTAAAAACTTGAATTAAAAATCAGAATTTTTAAAATCAGAATTAAAAATCAAAAATCAAAATCAGAATTTGTTTTAAACTTTTAAATTCTGTTCTGATTTTGAACAAAATTCCTTAAAATCAGAATTTCTGATTTTTAATTTTTAATTCTGATTTTAAATACCGACCAAAATTATAATAAATATTCTGAATTCTGATAATTTGATAAAAACAATAATTCTGATTAAAGCAGAAACCAGATATTTGTGTTTTAAAACTTAATAATTCAGTCAATATTCTACCACCTTTTTGTTTGTTAAAAAATAAATAATCTTTGTCTGAAACCTTAAATTCAATATTATTTTCCACATTTAATCCTCCAAAAAAATTTTTTTTCAGAATTATTAAATAAATATCCATTATAATTTACACATTTTCAACCTAAATAAAATGGTTGAATGATTTTTCTTTTTTTGAAGAAATATTTTTTTGAATAAAAAAAAATAGTTATAATTTATTTTTAACTATTAAATTACACACAAAATAAATATTTATTTTGGTTGGTTATTTTTTGAAATTTAATCCAGACAATATAAATCACCCCTATACACTTCCAACACCACTACACACTCATTAACACTTTTCTCTATCTTCTCCCTCTATTTTTTTAAAATTAATTTTATGAATAAATAAATAATTTTTTTTTAATTTTTCTAAGCTCTAAAAATGTTAAAAAATAAAAACCAAAAAAAATTATTTTTATATGTAAGAGTATAATAATTTAAGGAATTTATTGTTGTGTTAAAAATATACATAATATTAGTCAAAACACAGGAATGTTTTTTGACAAATAATTTTATGAAACATTTATTCTATCAAAAAAATATTTTATTATTTAAAAGGGAGGAAAAACCGCTCGAAAAAAATCTAAATTTTATTATTTTCCAAATTTCAATTTAAAAACACACAGAATTAAGTTTGATTGGGGTTAAGAAAAAATCCCGGGTTCGGTTATCCCAATCCTTCTCTAGTCCTTAATTTGCGCTTCCTACCAGCTCCGATTTTTTTATATTATTTTTTTCTTGTATTCTTTTAAAAATAAGGGTGATTTATTGGGCCGAGTTGAATGATTCATTTTTAGTTCATTTTTTGGCCAATTTAAAAATTCCTATTTTTAGTTTAGACAAAAAAGATTAGGTTACACAAATTCCAGACATATCACAAGAAACAATTTAAGAAAAAAATTTTTTTAATTTGGGTATAAATAGCTGAATCAAATACATATAAAAATATCATCGTTAACAGCCCAAAATAACGGCCCAAATACCCCCCCCCCCTCTTTAACGGCCTAAAATATTTTTTTTTAATTTTTCCCTCTTAATTTTCTCTCTTAAAAAATTAAATTTTTAATATACGTATAGGGTAACAAAAAAATTTTAGGACACTTTAATTTCCCTATAACTTTTTTTTCATTAACATTTTTTAATGGTTTTATATTCATTTTGTAGCCCAAACAATTCTCTTTCAGGTGGGCTAAGCAAGATTGCTTTCCCCTTCTAATTTTTTCTCTTAAAAAATTAATTTAATATACGTATATAATTTTAAAAAGTCTACCCATTTATTCAAAAAGAGAAAAAATAAAATTTATTTTTAGAAAAAAAAATATTTAGGAAAATTCAGCTGATCAAATATTAACTAGTAGTTAAATTTTAAAAAAAGAATAAAAAAATATATGTATTTATTTTAAGTAGTTTTTTTTCTCATTTTATGTGTCACAGGTTAAAAATTGAGAAAGAAAAAATTATAAAAGATATTTGCAACCACCAAAGTATTTATTTTAAAATATTCTTTCTCCGTTCTTTTCAACGCCTACTCAATCACTGATTTTTATTTTTATATATTCTTTTTAGTTTAAGCTAAAGAACAATCAGTATGTAGTGATTTTAAAAAATCAACCATTCCTTGGCTAAAAAAATTATTTTAAAAAAATCCAAAGCTAAGAATCGGAACCATGTATAAGAGCAAGGGTTGGTTTCTGATCCGTAAGAGAGAACTTTTTTTATGGGGAACGAGGATGTCAGGGAATGACAGTCGGGGATGACCTAAAAATCATAGTTGGGAGAGGAATCGGTGTGTGGGAGACCAACTCTAATATGGGCTGTCAACAACTTTGAGTTTTTAAAATTTTAAAACCGTCGGGAAGATCGTGGAGCAGAAAAGTCCTTTTTTGGAATTATTCGATCTTTTGTAATCGGTTAGGACGTGAATAGAAAATGCCTGAACTTATAAGTTATAACTGATCTTTGCAATAAAAAAACTTTTCTTACACACAACCCTCTTTCCCAAGATTGAAATTACAAAAACACTACGGCCTTCCCTATATTTTAATCGCCCCCGCCTGTATATTTTTAAAATAAAGTTTTACTTTCTTGATTTCAAAATAGAAAAAAGAATGCTTTATTTTTTTCCTTTTCTCTGTCATTTTATAGATCCAGGCAGCTTGGGCAGCTTTAGCTGGACAGATTTTTTATCTAAGCTATTTATCATTGAAAGCCTCTTGTTGATGAAAAACAAGGGGGATTTGCCCCGTTCACTTTTTTAAACGATCGGGACGTGAACAACAAATGTCCTGGATTTATAAGAAAAAAGGGGGAGAAAAGAGAAAATAGGAGAAAAAATAACCAGCTGACAGGAGGAACCTTTACCTTGTACTAGTGGGGAAAGATGACTTTAACCCA